ATTGGCCGCCGCTCCCAGGAAACCGCCCATCACTTGTCGACTTGTGGTGGCCAGCATGTTTTCAATATGCTCTCGCTGTTCCACGGATTCCGGTGCCTCCGGCGGTATGCCATTGTAGTTGCCCTTGGCATTGCAACCGGGCGGACATTTCGATCCAGTCTCCTTGCAGCGTTTTGCACCCACAGAGTGTAGTATGTAGAGAATTTCGTCTTCTTTGTTGCCACTGGCATCGTTGCCCACCATGTGGCGAGGGCTTTTGCCATCCTTGTTTTTCAGGTTGATGTCACAGCCAAAAACAACCAGACACTGGACAATCGGCACCAACTTCTTTTCGATGGCGATGTGCAGAGCTGCGTTCCCCTCCGTGTCCAGCACATCGATTTCCGCATCGTGGGCCAGCAGTGTGACTACGCACTCAAAACGATTCCTGGCCACCATCACGTGCAGAGCGGTGCGGCCATCAAAGTTCGTGGAGTTGACATCACAGCCCTCCATGATGAGGGCATGAAGGGTTTCGCGGGAGGAACACCAGTGCAGTGGAGTGCCACCATGTTTCATGTCTTGTGTGTACAGTTTGCTTATGTTCGTGCGCAGAAAAGTGGCCACCGAAGTGGGTGCGGACGTCTTGTACAGCTTGCTGATGTTCTTAGCATTGAGATTGACATCGGCGCCAGCCAGGAGCAACGCCTTCACGTTCTCCGGCTTGTCGGTGAGGCACGCTACATGAAGGGGTGTATATCCATCCGAGTTGAGGTGATTCAGGTTCACTGTGCTCTTGTCCGTGATGAGCTAAACAAATAAGGGTTACAATTTGTCTACAATCGATATAGACGGAGTGCTCACATTGATAATCTCTTTGGTGGTGCTGGCGGCATAGTGAAACACCGAATTGCTGTTGACATCCAAGTGCTCCAGCTTGCTCAACGGCAGCAAGGCCTTCACCATCTCTATGTGGCCCTGTTTGATGGCCAGTTGGAAGGGCGACATCATGCAGGTGGCATCCGCCTGGTCCACGCACTGCAGCATCTTGGGATTGCTGATATAATCGATCAGGTTGAAGTAGGCAATCAAATGGGACAGCGTCCATGAAGGATTCTCCGCCAGGGCATCGCAGGCCTTTTGCAGCCCATTAACATTGTAGTACTAAAATATAGAGGGTTTTAAAAACAGAACCAATTTGTTTGAGATCTTCTAAAGCACCTCTTTGACAATGCTGACGAACACGGGCAGCCTTTGCATGAAGGCATTGAAGCGTTCCTCGGCTTCCTGCTGCACCGGGGAGCGGTACAGACTAAAGGACGTGGTATTGGAGTCCGAGGTGGGTCGCTGCAGGATGATCTCGTAGACGGCACGCTTGTCATTGCTGTTGTAGGGTGGTGCAAACAGCACCATCGCATCATCGCGGGCCAAAACCTGAAGCGTTCCCAGCGATTCACTCTTTATCTCCAAGACCTTATTGGCCGGCTGATCGCCTCCCAGCAGGCGCTGAAGAACTGCGGTCGTAAAAAGTACATATTCAATTATATAAAAGTTGACAGAGGGTATTTGTGGGGGGACAAACACATTCTCAGCTAGTCTACTAAACACTCAAGACGTCAACACGACAATGAAATGTAACGATTTAGTGGGGTGAATACCAAACCCGGAGGCCAGGGCTCCAAAGGCCATCCACGACATGACTCAAGAGTGCGGAATGGACTGCTGCGGATGCTGCTTGAACTTTGAACGTGGCGGATGAGCTGGCTAATGTGGATGCGGTGAACCTGACAGAGAAATAATGGCCAGTTCGTTAGTTACATGGGTGTGGGTGAGAGTAAGTGGTTGCTTTGGATGGGTTGCCAAGAAATCAATAGTACACATCTGTGGCCAATCGGGAGCGAACAGATCACCCGATTTTCCCCATTGTTAGAATCTTCCCTTTTCCGGCTTTTTCTCATCTAAACCTAATCATTAAAATGACTGGCAGAAAAAACTTATTGTTCTGTGGGTCAGTTACTCATATTTGGGGGAAAAAAAATGATGCGTAAATTAGTGGAACACTAATGCCAACTGATATTTTTTGAATATTTTAATAAACACTTTTATGAACCAACCATTGAACATTTTCCTGTTCTGCTGCTAAGCGTTCTTATCGCACAATTCCAGTTTAATCACTTTAAAAATCTCGCAACACAAAATAACAAACTGAGCTGTTTTTTTGCAAACTTTTTTTCTAGCGGTGGCAGCTTTTGTCAGCGATGGCACTTTGGCATACGATTGTTCGTGACTAGTTCGTCTAGTAGAGTTCACAACCTTAATAGTTATAATAAATTCAAAGTATATGTTTTTAAATTACCACAAACACTTAACAGAAGCAATTTTCAATAAATCCAGAAATAACACTTAATTTGCTTTAATTCTAATGAATTTACAATGCTGATGCGGTCCTGTCTAAGCACACCTTAATTTAAACTAAATGTCATTTAAATAAAATCGAATTGGTTCGAGTCTGTGCTAAATCAATATCGAAGTTCTTAACCATTTGGGATGTAAATTTGTACAGTATTTTCTTGGTACTCCGCCACGGTCACACTTGCGAATTAGTAGAATTGTTAGAATATTTACCGGATGCCATTTGTTTGCAATAGAATTTAGAAACGCGTTAAAGAGCAGTGGCTAGTACTGAGCCAACAGTTAAATTCCACGTTACCAAATTGAGGACAACCTCGCCCGGCTGGCGCCTACGATTAGATCGCATTCCTCGCCGAATAATCATTTGGCTACCCAACTTGAAGATTGAGGCGTAAATTGCACTCCACATTGCAATTGCACTAGCAGTTAACAGGCAAATCAAACAAGTAAGTGCAACGGTCATGGAGGTGGAGGTGGAGGCCATCGGACCGGCGGAGGGCCAACTGGGCGTAGTCGGGGGACTGGCGGCCGTGCTGGCCACCACCCCCTGGGTGGCTCGGGCGACCCCCTCAAGGGCACGAGGCAATGGCAACGCAAGTCTCGCCGCCACCTTTGCCATTATAATCTGGCGAACTTCGCGGTTTCAGTGCCTGTTCGGCTACTGCCGCCGTGATTCACGACTGTCCAGCAGCAGTAGCAGCGGCAGCAGCGGCAGCAGCAGCAACAACTGTGACTCCCAACCGCCTGACGTAATTATGCACGTGCCCTGACCACAACTAAATCCAATTCTGGTCTTGCTGTACTCCCACAGGTACAGCAGATCCCGAGGATGCAGAACAATCCCAGTCCACAGCTGCCCTGCAAGGGCATCCTCAAGACCTCGCGCAGTTTCGACAAGTCGGGAGCCAGGTGAGGTCATCTGAAAACGCCAGTTAAAAAGAAACCCTTCTTAACTGCCATCCTTCTCCCTTCAAAGTTTTCGCAAAAGTGCCAAGTTCGATGAGCTGAACGTGTTGCAGACCTTCCATCCGACCGACAAGGACTACGGACATATGAAAATCGATGAGCCCAAAACGCCGTACAACTATACGGAGAACTATGAGGATAATAGGGACGAATTGGACACGGAGCTGCTGGTGGAGAAGTATGTTTAATAACCACAAGATCGTCTTAAGTTTAGAGAAGAGACTGTCATAAGTCAAACAGTAGGATTAGGAATACCAATTGCTTTACCAGAAAATGCGTCTTAAATTCTCAGTTAACATACATCTTATTTGCAAACGTAATTGTTTTTTTGTCTTATCATTAAGAGATTATAAGCGTGTAGATAGTGACATCTTTACAAAATCGAGAGTCAATATTTTTGCAAGATTGAGTTATTTTCCCACTTATACTTATACCACTTACACTTATTTAAAGTCAAGCGTCAATCTAGTTTATATATTTAACCCTAATATAATTAAAAACTAAAAAAATGTTTTAGTAGGCAATGTATACATTTGTTAAACCGCACAATCCTTGCAGACTCCGCATAGCGGCCAACACACAGCAGTCGACGGAGAGCATTGAGGATGAGGGCTCTTCCGGCGACGACCAGCCACTGAGCGAGGAGGAGCGACGTAAGTGCCAAGAACCACTCAGATTGCAAACGTTTTTCATGTACTTGGGTTGCAGAACGACGGCGGGAATTTGAGCGACGTCGCAAGGCCCACTACCGCGAGTTCGAGGCCGTCAAGCTGGCAAGGAAACTGATCCAGGAGGAGGACGACGACGACGAGGACGATGAGAAGGGCGCGGATAGCCGGCCATCGGGCTCGGCACAGGGCGCTTCCACTTCCGGCCGCTTTGCGAGCAGTTCTGCGAAAAATTCGAGCTCAAATGCCGACTCAGCCACATCCCCGTCTACCAGCGCCGGCCACAACATGGACCTGGAGCCATCGAACAACTAGAAGCAATATCAACCCATCAATCAATCACTAATGTTTACCTAGCGGACAATGGACGATTCTGAGGGCAGCTCATCCAAACAATGAACTAACGAAATTATATCAAGTGCTGTGCGAGCGCGGAGTGAGAAGTGGATGCTGATTAGCGATTAGCGGCGAGGGTCACTCGTGATTAATGAAATTTACCCAACTAAACACGAAAAACAAACCGTCGCCAAGGAAATTCGTCATCGAGTAGTGAGCACAGCCGTTAAGCCAAGGCATTACTTGTTGCAAATTGATTTTACAACACACACACACACACACACTGTGCATCTGGTCGGAGAATCTGATTTTGCGACCCAAAATATAACTATCGTATGCGTCTCAGCCGTAGCGTACTGTTGCGAATGTAGTTAAAAATGTCTTTTAAATTGATATCGCTACGGATAGCCGTTGAATTTTAGTCCAAGTCTCCCGTTCGCAGCTCCATTTGCATTTTAATTGATTGGATGCCCAGTGCCACATCGGGTATAACTTGTTGTAACTAGCGTTGAAGTTGATTTGGCCTTACTTTTAGTTATTTATTAATGCGATACTATTATGATTACTATTAAGTTTAAGCCATCGAATGCGAACGTTTCAATAAAGAGAGCCCGAAACCCAGTTGAAACAAGTGTAGACTAGTTCTTCTCGTCGCGAGTATTCAAAACTTGCCGTTTATTTAGTTTCTCATTTCATATTAGTTATACATCGTAGTGTAGTTGGGTATAGACATTGCTGGTCATAGTAATTGGTAAAGTCTGAGAGTTGTTGGCCCGTCCTCGACCTCCTCCCGGCCACATCCCCGTCCCATCCGCCAAGACCTGGGCACTGAGTCCGCGGCTGCACGTCCGACGGGCAAAGGCATCCTCATATTATTACCCGGGGTCAGCGGGCCGACTAAAATGCCGATCTTGAGCGGATGGGTGGGGGCTTAATCGGGGGCGATCCAGACGAGCTCGTTGATTTTTATATCCTTGAATGGCATTTTTGGGAACTCACAGATATGTTTCGTCTCTAGTATAACTAACTTAGCGGGGGTCATTGACGGTTTTTTTATAATTTGCAGTTTAACAATGTCAAAGTAAATATATATATATATATGTGCATATAGTATAGATATAAGCAAAAAGCATGCAAACTCAAACAGTAAACATCGAGAATCCTGCGACGACTGCTCCAAAGAATAAGTGATTGCTCTCCAGGAGGCCATCATGTCTTAATTTAGCGGATGACTCCGAACGGATTCCTCGCAGGATCTGCGATTAAATAGAATATGCTCACAATAAATAGATTAGTAGTGCTCTTACATCTAAGACAAGGTTCAATCTCGTTATCAGTTTCCGTCTTGGGTCGCATCGTATCCATTTCATTTCATTTGCTAGTTAACAATGTTTAACAATCATCTTAAAATCTAACGCTATATGGTTTATTATTCAATTGTGCTCTACTATCTTAGCCATACTATATGCACATGCTCCAAATATGTGTATATAGTATGGTTACATAGAGAATATCGTTGTCCATCGCCCCGTTTGGGCATATGGATCAGGGTTCCACAACCACGACGAGTCATCATCCGTATCCATCCGCAATGGGTGCCTTCTGTTCGAGAGATCAGCAAGCATCCATTGTTTGGACACTACCGAAGATGACTCATGGCCATGGAGTCACACCTGCTGTAGTATTGTAGCATTCACCTATCATGGGTTCGTTTCGTAACATATGTGTATGTTATATGGCGTCGTTAGTGGTCATCTAAGATTAGTATAACAATTGTATATATCCTATATGTATATAGAGTTTGGTTCGTTAGTGTTTCGTTTTAGTAACATATACATGATCGTTTTCAGTATTATTATGAAGTGGGTTCCATTTGATTTTTCTGCTGTTGTTATTTGTGCATGTTGTTGATTTCCTTTCCAGCTTTCCAGCTTAGCCGAAAATGTGCTGGGTGCCGGGTGGCACCTTGTAGCTCGGATAGCCATTGTTCAACTGGTGCTTGGCAAAGAAGGGTGTGTAGTCCTATGGAATAAATCGTATATGAATATCGGATTACCCTCGGATCTCAAGAGACCACTGCCTACCCGGTTAACTCTCCTGGGACGGCAGACGGGGCCCAACGCCAACTGGCGACGTTCCTCGTTCTCGCGAGCCGCGGCCTCCTTGTACTCCGGTGGTGGCCATTTCAAATCTCCGCGCAATTTGCTGCCTCCTGAAAAGGTTACAAATCCATTTATAAGAATACTATTTTTGTAAACCTATATCTTTGGCATAAAAACATTAATCTTTTCTTCTTTTTTTTATAATCTTCCTCAAGGATCTCATATATAAACAAGTTATCATATCTTATATATTTTATAGAGAACAAGTAATGTTTCAAAGCAATGATCTTATACCATACCCAACTATCTTGTCAAGAAAAGAAATTTTGAAAAAATTGCATCTTTAAAGAAACTTTAACCTTGATTTTAAACTCGTTTAGAAATAGGTTGGACAAAATTCCTATGGCTCCTGGGTCTTAAAAAAATTTTGTTTTGAAAACTATTTCATTTCATACAGTGTATTTTATTGGGAATAAAAGAAATATGATCATACTACTGAAACAACATTTTTGGATGAAATTTATTATACATAGATTTAAGAAAGGTTATGTTAAATTTTGTATTACAAAATAAACCTAAAAAAAGCTCTAAAACTGACGCATCATTAAGAAAAAAAAAACTGTGCTTGCTATAGTATCTTTTACCATAAGTTTCAACTTTTAATGTTTCTATAAGAATCCGTTTTAGTTAGACTTTGAGTGTTTAAAATATGTTTATTAATTTTTTGGTTATTTAATTTTTTGCAATGAGTGACAGAAAATTGTTGGGTACAACTTCCGTATAAGCTGAGCTTTTCTCGCTTGATCAATTTAATAAATGCAGCCCCTAAAACTCTTTAATATTTATGAAACAAATTCAAATTTCGTAGTTTTTTTGATTATTAAACTAAATATTAATTGATTTAAATGAATAATTTAAAAGTAATGAGTACTTACCCTGATAGCTGACGGCGGCAGGCTGCGAAGTGTAGACTGGCGCAGGCTGCTGGCTGACTGGAGCCTCCTTGCGCAGGGTGATGATCCCAGGACTGGCACCCCGGTAGCTGTTATCCTGGCCAGCGAAGGATCCAGGATGCTGCTGCTGCTGCTGTTGCTGCTGCTGGAGCAGATCGGTCTGATCCTGCGAGTAGGGCAGCTGGGGCTGCGAATAAGAATTGTATGGGGTTTGAGCAAAGGTCGAGCCACCGTTTTGCTGTGGGTAATAGGATGGCTGCTGCTGTTGCTGCTGCTGCTGTTGCGGCTGCTGCTGGTACGGTGAAGTCTGGTACGATGGCTGCTGCTGCTGTTGGTTCCACTGTGGTGGCTGATAGGGAGCCTGAGCCTGAGACTGAGGCTGATATTGCTGCTGTGGCACCTGCTGATGTTGCTGCTGCTGTTGCCACGGTGCTGCAGGTTGCTGCGGTTGCTGTTGCTGCTGTTGCCACGGTGTTGCAGGTTGCTGCTGCTGCTGGCCATCGTAAGACGGAGCACCGTACTGCTGCTGCTGCTATTCGACCGGTGGTGCAGTGGTGCATTGGTGGTGTTTCGGTGGTGCCAACATGCATGTTTGACATGGGTTTCGATCACAAGTTATGGTATGGTGGTGTTTTATTGGTTGGGAGGTGCATACAACACATTCACAGTGGATGTAGATAGACAGATAGAATATGTTGGAGATAGAGATAGACAGTAGATCTTAGTTAGAGGTGGGAGGCTTAGTTTTGAGTTAGGTATTGGGTAAGTTTTATGCGCAGTTTACAGCTGAAAGTCGCAGAGAAAGAAGCAAAGCTACAGGTTATTTGGCATTTTGCATATAAACAGCAATTAGTAAAGATTTTTGCATGCAAAAGCGAGTGAGTACAAAGTAGGATAGATATAATACTGAACTTTATAAAAATACTATAATTAAAATTGTAATACAAATAATAAAGACCCATTTAAAAGCTTGCACATTTAGGAAATAATAAAAAAATATATTTTGGAACAATCCCAAACTCTAAATCTTCTCTGCATTTGATTAAAAATTCGCCAACGATTTTTAAAGACACAAAAAAGGTTTTAAAAGTTTTTTTTCTTTAATTTTATAGCTGCATATGTAAACAAAAGGTAGGTTTTCAAAATTGTAATATTTGTATATGTAGTCGAACTCTTAATATCCCACACATATTTAAAAAAATTTACTTGAAGTTAGATGGTCTTTCTTTTTGGATAAGAAAATTTAAACAAAAGAGTAAAATATTTAAGAAAAGTTTAAGATTTAGTTAAGTAAACAGTAAGAGCTTAGACAGAGTCTTAGATACGAGTACAACTAATATGAAAGTTGAAACGAGAATGTAATATAGTTTTTTTAGTAAATGTAACAAATGAAAATTAATAGGTGTCTAGAAAAATGGTTTAGTAAGTGCCAACATAGGGATTTAAAGGCATTCCGGAGATAGATGTTAAGGTAAGAGTAATATATTGTATATATAGGAAATGTGAGAGATAAGAGTGAGTTTTTAAAAAGAAAGTTTAGTAAGTGTCTACGAAAGAAGGCAGGAAAGCGTCTAAGAGGAGATCAACGATGGCAGGAGACAGAGACGATCACAGCCGCCGTGCCGTGCAAGATGTAGCATCGCTTTGCTTAGCCAAAAGCCGGGATCCAATCCGACCAAGACATGGGTACCTGGGGCTGCTGATGGTATCCCTGGAACGGAGGATGTGCTCCTCCGGCGGCGGTATAGTCGCTGCGCGACTTGGGCAGCGGTGCACCGATGTGCTTCCAGCCACCGCCCACATTGTTGCCGGCCTGCAGCGATTCCTGCGGATAGTTGGACTGGTAGTTGGGCTGGTAGTTGGACTGAGCTGGAGATGGAGCTGGGACCGGGGCGGGTTCCCTCGAGCGTTGCCGATTGAACTGGGCCTGTGTGTACTGCACAGGTTGCTGCTCTTCCTGCTGTGGGTAACTATCTGGGAAGTGGGTGGCATTCGCTATGGCAGTGGCCGTGGCTTGTGGTGTTGATGGTGGGTTGTACACATTTTGCGGTGGTTGGGCGGTGCGTGGCTGGACGTTGTTATAAATGGGACCCTGCAAGTTGTCAGTGCGGTTAGGTGGGGGTGATGTCTGTTGTGTGCTGGTGGGGGGTGGTGGGGGGTGGTGTTCCAAATGCTATGTACATGGCTTTATGCCTCACCGGATGAGATACAAATTGTGGCAGTGGCGGATACAATTATATTTACACTCGACGTACACGAAACATGACTATATAGTATGTACAATTCATCGGTTTTCAAAGGGTCAGGGCCAGAGGGTTGGTGGATATGCCTTACCTGTGGTGGGGCAGCAGCAGGTGAGGGGGCGTGGGCCTGCGGATAGTAGCCTCCGGCTCCCGGGGCTGGACTTTGGGTTTGCGGCTGGGGGGTGAACTCCCGGATGATCCGCTCCTCCGAGGCCGGTGGCCAGGCCACACGCTTATAGCCTACATTTAACAAAGAAAGAGAGAGAGAGAGAGAGAGGTAACGAATAAATACTTGGAATTCTTTTTTACGACTAATGCTGAATGCAGCTGCCGTGCGAAAACATTCAACAAAATGCGGCCAAAACGTGGGCGTCACTATAACCTTGGGTGCATTGGTGCTGCATTTGCCCAGTGCAAGCGAAACAATTTGAAAATGATTTAAGCCAATTAAAATTATAGCCATCGCAATGGCAATGTGCGAACAGTGAACAAAGGAGGCGAAGGCAAAGACGAGGGCGTGGCTGATTCTGCAAATCATACACGGCTGTCATTGCGTCTAAATTTAGCCGATGAGAACGAGACGAAAGCTAAGAATTTGACATTACTCATGGGGTGATGAGGATGTCGTCGTCGTCGTCGTCGTCGTCGACGTTCTACGTGCACCGCAGCAACATGTTGCTGCTGCACCAGCAACATAGTGCCTCGAATCTTATTCAATTTTGATATATTGCAAGATGGATATGGACATGGATATGGATATGGATAAGGGTATGCTGTCAAGTGTGAAAATTGTGTTTACCCTCCAGATTTTTGTAGTTTGCGTTGATGATATTCCACTGAGCGACCATGGTTATATATTTGCTCTCTCGACTCGTTAAGTATCTCTATCTATCTATCTATCTATCTATTTAGCTATCTATTTAGCTATCTGGCCGATCGGGCCTTTGCGTAAGAATAAAAATATTCTCGTATAGATATCAAAAATAACAAATACACGTATATAGCAAGATGTATATGTTTGTTTTTTTGCGGCTATTTTTTGACTTGTCCGCTCGCAGAAAGTCGAGAAGAGCTGCGTTATATAACCCCGAGGTTCAATCAATCGATTTCGATATTTGGAGAGACTTCTTCTGATGGGAACACCACGGTATTTCGAATTTCGAATTTCGATTTCTCTAATTTTTAAGCTCGATGGCAAATTTGTGCGCGCGCGTTTCGTTTATCCTTCGGTTTGATGTCGTTGAAAAATCAGAAAAAAAATGATATTCGGATAGCACGTCGTTAAGTTTTTTCTTTTGTTTCTAAGTTCGATTCAATTCAATTTGATTTGATTCGATTCGATTTGATTCGCGTGCGTTTACCCAATTTAATTTCTATTTTCTATTATAGCTATTCGCTATTTCTATTTGCTAATTCGTTGATCGTTCGCGCTGCGATATGTTTGCCTTCGATGTATGCTACTAAGTGAGGAGCCAGAGAAATGCAGAGGAAATTATTGTTAGCCAGCGATGCCAAGATGTAGAAACATTGGCACTCGTGTGGGTTCCACAACCCACACACTCGTCGTCCGACTTTTTCGTATCCGCGAGATGCGCGAAAGTAAAGACTTCTCTTTTTTTTTTTGTTTTGTGGGAGAGATTGGCTGAGTGGTTGGGTGGGTGAGTGGGTGAGAGATTGTCGGCATCGAGGCTATCTGCTAAGTATGCTGATGCTGATCTTGGCCTGGGCTCCTCCATGTCCCCATATCCCCCTCCTGGGAGGTAGCCAACTCCCGGCATTGTTTACACCTTCGATTTTTGTGATTTGTGGGCCCCACCTTGAAATGCTGATCATCGTGCCCACTCCCTCACTCGCGGCAGCCAAACTGAAGGTGTCTATATATCCTCTATATATATATATATTCACACATATATATAGAAATCGCAAAGATACAGTCAGAGATATTCGCATATTTGCGGTTCTTTGCCCAGATTCTAGATGCGATGGGTGTGTTGCTGGTGTTTATTGTTATGGCGATTTGTTATGATCAAGTGGGCGCACCCCCATCCATCTTGCGGATATAGTCGTCTGATCCCAGCCAACTAGCTAACTAACTATCTGCCATCTATCATCTATTATCTATCTTGTGGCCTCTGCAGATATAATTTGTGACTCAAAGGCAACGAATGGCAGCGGTGGCTAAATTTAAACGGCTGTCATCTTGGGCGAACTAAAACAAATCTGTTTTTAAACGTATTTACACAGGTGTACCGCCAAAGTTGGCTCATTAAAATTATTAGCAAGCTTGTAACTCATATGTCTGCTTTATAGCCACCGAATATCGCATACCCATGTGTACTAAATAAGCAATTATTTGATATAATAAGAATGGATTGCTCGTTAGCCACGCAAAAAATTCGTTTTGATGTCCGCCAAACGTCACAGATAAATACAAAAAAATTTTAGTTTACATTATCTAGTTGGCCCACAAATTTGTGCATGCTCTAGACAATTAATTTTTATTTTTGCTTTAAAATAAATTCTCTAGAAATACATTGGGAACCAACCCCATGCCACAAATAAAACTAATTGTCAAAGGATAATGGAAAATGAATAAATGACTATTCGAACATAGGAGATAAGCTCTCGTTGTCTGGCACAAAATCTTTATAATGTCTGTGACATAAGTCTGCGAAAAAAGTCTGAGCAATATAATTCTAAAATAGAAGCATATAATCTATCTATAAAGCAAATAAGATAAATGGATGTGAAATGGAATGTTTAGGTAGAACTAATATAGCCCGAAATAAGAGTTATAGAAATGAATGATACTACTTTCATTTTTTTCAAATACAAGATATTCACTATACTATTAATGGGAAAAAATATAATATATTTATCCTGGCAGCTTAAGACCCTAATATCTAGCGTATAAGAATAATCCTCATGTGAGTCAAAATCGTTTGAGTCACACCACGAATATTTGGATCTAGACATTGAGGAACATGACGAGGAACACTTTGAAGGACACAGACATTTGGGGGATACACAAATCGGTGGGCTTTCCACGCACCTTCAATGCCCAGATATGGGCGTGGCGATACATTGTCGAAGGATCGATTGACGTTGAAATCCCGCTGCACCTCGTCAAAGGAGGCCAGGGATCTGAACTTATGCTTGTCCGCCGACTCGAGCGTTGGGAACTCGAAGGGCGGGGGCTGGGCTGCGGAACGAGGCGTGGCCGGGGGCGTGGCAGCCAGCATTGAGGAGGATGCCGACATGCTTTGCTGCAGTGGCTCGGTGGCGGTCTTCACCAGCAGTCCAATGTTGTGGCCCTCCAGCTGCGGCACATGCGAGAATTTCGCTGGCAGATTGACTGGCGATGGTGTGGTGGCCTTGGTCTGGACGGGATTCAGGCCATACGGTGAGCTGGAACGCTGAGGAGCCTCGATGAGGGGAGCGGGATACTTGCGGGAGGGCAGCGGACTGGGCGAACGACTCCTTTGCCAGATGACCTCCGTTTCCGGCTGCTGGAGGCATAGCTGCGAAGGTGGAGGAGGCGGCGGCGGCGAGGGTGGCGGAGAATCTGTAGCCGGCGTGGTCACAATTTCCACAAAACTACGCTGACGTAGGAGCTTCTCGGGTGGCGTTTTCTCTCTGACCGACTGGGCATCCTCCCAGGAGATCTGGCGCGATATATAGGGACTCCTGATCTCATAGGTGGCCTTGTAGTTACGCAGCGGTTCGTTCTGCAGATTGGCAATGCGCCACTGGTCGGCCTTGTTGAGTTTGGCCCAATTATTCGGCGAGCAGCGCATCTCATCACAGCAGGGGCAGTAGTTGGAGGAGATGGCCTCATGATCGCAGGTTGCATCCTCATCTGTTCTGCTTGCACTTACATCCAACTCCTTTTTGGACTCTTTTTTGGCTAGTTGTTCTGCAGTTGAATCCTGTTTCCTATCCTTTATTACCAGTTTAGGTACCACTTTATTTTCCTCTTCTTTTAAATCAACCTTTTTATCTTCTTGTGGTGCGGGCTTTTTATTTTTATTTTTTTCCAGTTGCTCCTCTATGGCTTTTCTTAACTCCGTTTTGGCCGGGACCTCTTTGGACACCTGCTCCTCCTTCCACTCGTCGAACTCCTTTTTGGCCAACTGCTCGTAGTTGGCAATTACATCCGATACGTGTCTGTATTCCAAGTCCTCGTTATCGTTCTCGTTCTCATTCTCGGTTTCGTCCTCATCCTTGATGACTACGTGTTCCGCTTCAATGACAGCTGGCGTTGTCCGGAGCTCTACGTGCATGGGTTCCGGTTTTTGCTCCAGGGCCACTGCAATCTTGTGCAGATCCTCCAGTGCCCGCTCCACAATGGGCACGTTTTCGGTGAGGGCCTCCTCCGCCACCTCCTCTTCTTCTTCGGCGGCGGTCTCCTCCCGAATCTCCTTCGACAGACGGGTGGGCAAACCCGCTGCCCGAGTGTATATCTGGCGGAGTATGGCCTGCAGTGGACTCTCCACGGCCAAAATGGGTGACTGGCGATGGGCGAAGATGTCCCAGGAATCGTTGCTGCCCGAACTAATGGGTCTAATGACGGGCAATGCCGTTTGTGCTGGTGCTGGTGGCGGAGGTGGAGGAGGTGGAGGAGGAGGAGGAGTTGGTGGCGCTGGCGTGGGAGTGGCTACAGGTGTGGTTTGGGCACTCCTCTGCAGCGCCTGCTTGGCATTCTCCATGTAAGCATCGATCTGGAGCAGATGCTCTGCAATGGATTGCTGTATGTGGGCATATTTGGCCTCCAACTGGGCAATCTCCACATGGGCCTCGTGCTGCTTCTCCTTCTCCTTCGCCTTTTCCCGTTCCGTTTCCAGTTTGTAAAAGCCACCCTGTCTTCTCGCCTGCTTATCCTTCAGCTGCGAATCCTGGCCAGACTTGGAACGCATCACTGGTGGTGACGGCGGCGGTGGCAAAGGTGGCGGCTGTGGAATCGGAGTGGTTGGTGTACTGCTGCTCGCCTGCCGCTGCAGCAACTTGATCCCACCGGTGGCACTCACATAGGTGGGACTCTCCTCCGGCCGCTGGTGCTGCTCCATCTCCTGGTGATCCTGCAGATACGAGCAGGCGTCGTCGTAGATCTGCTGGGCACTCTTGAGCTTGAGCGGATCGAGCGTCGAGGCCTCCACGCGAACGGGCACAATGCGAGTGTTTGGGGCCAAATGCGGCTGCGGCCGTCCACTGCTCCCGTTTGTGGCAAAAGCCAGAGCCATCTGCTGCTGCTGCTTAACTGCCAGGTTGTCAATTACCCTTTGGCCCGCTGTCATCGCTTGATTGGGCTCGAGAGCGGCGGCAGCTGCTGGTGTCGCTTTCGGTGACGGTGACGGTGTCGCTGGCAGCGGCAAGGCCTCCAAGTCAAACTCTTGGCCAGAGACTGGCTCCTCCTCGCTGTCGCCGTCGTGGCCATAGGAGATCTTCACCTCGGTGGCCAGTTTGATGCATCGGCGCTGCACCTTTGGCTTCGAGGTTCGCGGCTTGGGTGGCGGCAGTTCTTCCGGAGCACCCACTGTCCGCTTGCGGGATCGTCCGCGTTCCAGGGAGTAGGCCTGCCTCTTGTACCTGGGCCGATATGGTGTCACCGGCAAAGTGGGCAATGTGGGTGTGGTGGGCCGCTTGTGGGCCAACTGCTCGTAGTACTCACAGCGGGGAGCCACCAGACCCAAGTCCACATCGGCTGCCTTGGTCTCCGGGGCGGAGAAGCCCTTCGCGAGTGGAGTTTGATGGTAGAGTTCGTCCAGGCCCACGGACACCCTTTGGGGTGTTCGCGGTCGCTCCTTGGAGCCACCATCCCGCTGCCGCTGCTCTCGCACTTGCTTGGCCGTGGGCTCGACGATCCTGGTGGGACTCTGGAACTTCTCCCTCAGTGCCTCAATACTGGGCGAGGGATGGCCGGCGTTCTGATGACTCTGCTCAGCACTGCTGAGCTGCACAACCACATCCTGCTCGGCGGGGGGCCAACTGTGATCCCGCTTGAGGAGGTGTCGCTTGGTGGCCAGCCGATTGATCTTCAGCACCGTGTCCCGATCGATGGTGATGTCCTGCTGGTGACTGAGGTAGTCCGTCTTGATTTGGTTGAGCAGCTGCTGGTGCAGCGTGTGATGCAGTGCATCCCCCTCGCCACGCTCACGCCGGCGACTCTGTCTTTCAATGGGGTAGAAATCTTTGCGGGACAAGCGCCATAATTTACTTAAATTTATCTGCAAAATAACACGCATATTGGGCACTGGGCACTGGGACTAAAAGTGACTGTTTTGTTGAATGTTTTCACACTGTTTCTTTATGTTCCGGCAACACATAATAAACACGCACGAAGGGGGGAAAACCTAGAAATCAACTATTTCTTACCAGATTTGGCTTGTTGTTCTTCCTCTTCGACGGCGCGCAGAACGGCCGAGTTGGCCAAGTTCAGGGGCTTCGAGATTTGGTCGTCGACTTCAATCCTGTAAAGAGTACAAAGTGATTAAGTACTTATCAAACATCTGTTTACAATGCACACAGTTTGAAAAGCATTTTGAATTTCGCGCTATAAACCGCTTGCTGCACTGCTTTAAATTTGCACTGCTTAGTGGCGCCTCACTGCATTTACATTTGAATAAAGCAACATTTCTCATTAAATAATTGCCGTTACCTCAGTAACGTTTTTGGCTTTTTATTTTTAAAATTTAATTTTTTTTTTAATATTTAATTCTTTTTACTTTTTTATAGGTATTAAAATTATATTAATAATTATAAGCAACTAAAACTTCGTATTTTTCCTTCAAAAATGTCCAAACATAAATTTAAAAGTAAACTATTAGACATATTTATATTTTTTCCATTTAATTTTTAACAGACCATTCCCATATAAAAATGTTGAAAAATCGAACAAGGTTTTCCTAAAAGTACTAACACAAAATTGTTCATATACTTTCAATTAAAGGAGGTGGAGCTATAAATTGAAGTTGGCGTTATTACTTATATATAACACCACCCCCTGAGGTGCGTCCCATTAATCGAAGGGATATGCTAAACCATGGGCATAAATTAATCGCAGCATCCTTCGATGTGCTGACATTGAAAATTAGCAAGCACGCTCCGGCCCACGCTGACCCTAAAAAACTAATCGAATCTGACAGGTGGAAGCTGTGCTGGCGGATATAAAAATGACTGGCGACGGCGGAAAGTTCACCACATCCTGTACAGCATCACATCCAGCAAGACCATGATGTTCCGCTCCGTGATCACACTGCTCCTGCTGCTGATCCCGCTCCTGAAACCCGCACAGGCAGTAAATGTGATTCAGGTTTGCGGACCCGCGTTGACGGAAGTGTTGGCGGCTGTATGCGAGAACGAATACAACTCAATGTTTCAAAAACGAGCTTACCGTAAGTACTTGCGGCGTCATTTCGGTTTTCTGAAAACGGCACGATCTATAACATTTTGACATTTGAAATCTGTGATCCATCATTTGCAGCGGATCTGGGCCTTTTTGGTTATGAGAACAATCTGGTGGATAACGACGATGCCAATGCGGTCGCGGATTTCGAACCCCACCATCCACGGACTAGCTCACTGATGGGCGTGCGGCGCGATTTTCGTGGCATTGTGGACGACTGCTGCTATAGGCCGTGCCCCATCAGGAAGATGAAACTTTACTGCAAAAACAGCAACTAAATGGACTCCAAACCATTGCAAAGATACCTGACATAATGTAACCACGAAAAATTCCGTTCTGTATAATAATAGTATATGCACGCATGTTATGCAAATAAAATTTATTAACGCATTACAAACACGTTTTTGATACTTCTATAAAGAATAACAATATAGGAAATTTCCTTTGTTTAGCATTTATCAATTATTGAAAAAGGGTATATAGTTTCTACATAACTGGATTGGGAATAAGCAAGTAATACGTATTTCATTCATTATTTATGTTGAAGACAATTTCGTTTTTTAAAAAGAATGGTAAAGAAATAAAGTATATTATGTCAAGTGAGACATACATATATTGACATATTAATGTCAAGTGAGAAAGACTAAAGAAATATTTGTTTAAATATATTTAATTATTTAATAACATATTATTCAATAATTTTCAGGGTAGAAAATGTGTATGAATTGCACCATTGTGCAAATGCAGCTTTATACAAATAATATGCTCCTTTGAGTACAAGTAAAAGCGAATTTTGATTTCAGTCGCAGCCAGTTGAGTGGAAATTTCGCACAAACAAAAATATGTTTTACGCTTGCATGGCGATTTTCTTTAAGCTGGCCAAAAAGTTTTCAACTTTAATTTTAATTTGTTTGAAATGTTTTGATGTTTTCAATGCATATTCTTAATCTGCTTTAAATATTTTGCCTTCCTCACAGCTAACAAACAGAAATATTTAAGCTAAGAAAATGTGCCAACTGAGATAAGACCTTAAAGAATTTATGAACAACAAAGTCCGGAGATAATCGCAAAGCTTTAACTTGCTAGGCCTTTTGAAAGCAACGACCACAACTTTAATAAGTTTATTAATTTCGAGCAATTGCAAACAGCTTGCCAACCTCATTAGCCGCAAGCAAATATTTGCTCTATAATAAATAGCAATTCGATTTAATTGAATTTCGTTTGAGGTTTGCTTCCACATTTGCCTAAATATTCATTTAGTGGTGTTGTTCATTAAGTGATGATTAGTGGGACATTTGTAAATTATTTTTCTTTTTTTACAGTTAGTTGTTTAACTGTGCGATATTTCCCTGTGATTCACCGATGGGCAGAAAGTCAAGAGATGCCTCACAACTTTTGGCTAGACGCCTGCCTTTTGTTTGTTGACATTGTTTTAGTTGTTCTTTTTCGGTTCTGTTGCATTAAATCAGTGCATTATCGCTGGCGAGTGACTCATCGACCTGCTGACGTCTTGATTTATTTTAAACTTTTTTACACACACAAAAACTAATGATATATATGTTTTTTATATACTAGTATTTAACCAGTTTAATCACAAAAACAGTCATCATTAATAAATATTTAAAGTAATGGAAGTTGGTTAATAAATATTTATGTGTTAAAAGCCTATGATAAACATTTTGTCTTTCCATTTTTCCTTTTTCACATTATCCGAAATAGTTCAACAAGTTAATGTTTTGAATTTTTTTACACATTGTAGGTATGCTATATTTGTATTTCGTTTATTTATTTCAAAAACTGCACAACCTAAGTTTTTATTGAAACGAAATTCCTGAAGCTCTAAAAACTCCTGGTTCTATATCAAAATTTAATGAGTCTAACTAAACAGCTTTATATACTATAAAAGTGCTTGTTACTTTATGAAAGTGGAAGGGTATCGACTCTTTTTGGTTGCAGATATGTTATATCATGGACAAGAATTTTACGTTTAGGATCCTTAAGATCAAGTTTTGCTTTCTTGTGCACCCTTTTTCTTTTACACACTTGATTAGCGTTATATAAAAAGTATCGCTTCACGTACATTTTATTTTTGAAGTTTAAAGTTGGGCGCAGCCTTGGCTCAGCTGTTTTCAGAAAAGTTACTTCCTAATACGGAAAAACACGTTACGCACACTCACGCGCGTATATGCGATTGAAAGTTTTTAGTTTTCAGTTTTCAGTTTTCGGACTTTGGTAATTAAATTTAAAGACTCCGCCGCCACTGTTGCACACGTTTTGTCGCACGCATAGTCACCGAATAACTGAAAGGCACTTAAAGTTTTTGCTCACCAGAGCAGATCACCATATCTATCTGGCGGATCGGTGAGTTAAGGTGAGGCCGGTTTATTCAAACAACAATTGCGAACAACAATGGCAGAGATAGAGATAGTGTGGTGTTGTTGTGGCGACAGCAACAAAACAGCACCACCACCAGCTACAAATAAATTCAAGTCTAAAGAGCATCGCTGAGATACGCGTTGCGGCGTCGCTGCTTATAAAGCTTTTTGGTAATTACAATTAAACGTCAAAGCATTTAATTGTAGAGGTTGTTTTTGTCCTCAGCGTGTTTTTGTTTTTGAGTATCTGTCTGTGTGTCCGTGTGCCCCAACAAATTGGCAGCAGTTGCAGTAGCAGTTGCAGTAGCAGTTGCAGTCGCAGTCGCAGTCGCTGCCTCAGTCGACGCTGCAGTCGCGCTGCAATGCACAAATGGAGGGGCTTCCCCTTTAAATCCACCACCTACCACCCCGTGGCCGCCCACTAATTAATGTGTTTTGTGCACCTGTTTTGTGGCAGCGGATTTTGTATCTGTCAAAATAGAACGAGAAAAGCAGGAGGCTCTCGGCGGGGGGAGCTTGTATTACCAAAACACTTCCAGTACTATTCAGAAATAAATTGTTTTTTAAGTTGCCTAAATATTTTACATCAATATTATGCTATGATTAATTACATTAATTTCAAAAATCTTATTTAAATATCAAGTTGTGAGACTTTAATTAATTTTTAAGCTAAAATTCTCAGAAATATGTTATTTATTATCGCAACGAACACTAAATCATATCTAACAAATAATCAATGAACCAATTCTGTTTTTGATTCTGTGAATTGGATTTAATAATGGTTAGAGATATGAAATTAAGTGTTCTTTTAATACTCTAATTAAATTTAAAGTCTGATGGATTAACCTTAAAATCTAATTAGCTGAAAAGCTATTTTAAATTTTTACTATAATAACGTATCTAAGTATATTGGCAAAAAATAAATGTTTTTAAATTAGATCTTTACAAAGAAACTAACTTTTTTCTTCGTTATATATTGTTTTTTTTTTATATGACCTTTGTATTTTATTAACTAAAAAAAGTATTTTTCATTTATTTTTAGATTCCAAGCCATTGCAAGGAAAGGGAATAAACAAAGGGCTCTATTTAGCTTTAGATTGACAACAAGGAGTGTGTTTTATTAACGTTAACAATTCCCAAAGAATATTTTATATTTAAAATTATATGTCAAGCAATTAAAGGCATTAATTAAGCTTACTAAGCTTCATACTTTGGCAAATCCATAGACAAATATTTAATTCCCCTCAAAGCTCTGTAAAGTGACTAAGAGTTCAACTGGCAATTACATCGACTAAGCGACTAAGGAAACGCACCTACCCCGCAAAAACCTTCAACAAACGCTCTTCTCCAGCTGGCTGCTTTCATCTATTTTATGAAATTATGCATTTAAATGTATGATAATCATTTCGCTTGGGCACACAGAGGGGCGTTCCTTTTTCCCCATTTTCCATGTCCTATTTTCTTATTTTTTAATTTTGCTCCCTGTTTGTTACTTACCCCTCGCCGCCGAAGGCTTTCAGCTCGCGGTTCAAGGTGGCCTTCACGTTCTCCTGGGAATAGAGGCCCATGGGCGAGTTGAACTGCTTGTGCACCAGCTTCCGTTGTAGGGCGGCCATTTTGTATGTGTGTGTGTGTGTGTGCGTATCCTTTCTGGACTGCTTCTTCCTGCGGACTCAAGTTGCTCCTTTCAAATGTTTAACTTCGGTTCCTCCTTGGCTGACTTTTGTTTGCCTGGAAGCTCGCTTCTGTGTGTGTATGTGCTTGCACTTCTTCGGATGTCTTCGAAAGTTTTTCAAAAAAATATTGTTGATAAAAAATATTTTTTAAAATTTTCTGCTCGACTGAATTCCGCTTATCGGTCTTCTTTTGTTTGTTCTTCTTTGCTGGCGGTAAGTGGGCGATTTGAAAAAAAAAGAATCCTAAGCACTTTCCCCTACTTCAGTTGGACTTAATGTTAATCGTTAATTGTCGGTCGTTGTTCGTTCTGTAATTGAAATGCAAAATAAAACTGAATGAGATAATAAGGTAAGTGGTAACTTAATTCGAACTGGAGTTAAACGGAAGAAGGGAATAATGTCATTAAGTTTCAATGGCAGTCATTAATGATTTTCATAGGCAACAGAAACTTACTAATTAACTAAACACTCAATTAATTTAATCTAGGTGTTTCAAAAACTTTAATTTGGCTTCGTAATCAATATTTACCTGAGGTTAAATACCTATTATTTTAAGCAGCTGACTAAAAAATCTTTTTTAATTATTTGTAAACTTTCAAAAATAAGTTAAGTATTCTCAAAACTCCTAAAGATATTTTCTCATACTTTGTCCTTTTATTTCATAATATACATATTAAAATGTGTATACACATTATTATTACGGAATTTATATATCTATATTTTTAATGGATATTAAATAATGTTATTAAGTACACAAAACAAACGCACTAAAACAGTGCTTAATAACAAAAGTGTAAATATTCAATTGATCACCATAATAAATGCCTAAACATTTAATTTCCTCTTACAAATTGTATTTAAAATGATTTGATTATATTCAATGACGAACAAAAAGCTTTTGTTTAATATTTCTGTTAGCCTTGTATAACATATCACTATTCTCCTTAATGCATATATAAAAATCTAATTATAAACACAAAACAAAAACTGGGAGACTCATAAAAGTTTTCAAACAAGAGCGAAATAATTTCAGAAATATTTCCAGTAGGCACCACAAACACTTCAATGTCAACGCTTTATATATATATGACACTTTAATGTTTAAAATCTTTAGATTCACATGATTTTTATAATTTATGATTCTCTCAATTGCCAGCTGGAATCATTTAAATATTTTTGACTACAGAAATTCGTTTCGATTTTACAGCTGTTGCTAACAAATTACAAACGTGGAATTTAGCGCAATATATGAAAAATAAGCAAAGGCACGTATAGTATTTATTTTTCCAATTTCCTGAGATACTCACTCACTACTGTCACATTTAGAAATGTATCTTAAACTAATTTGAGCACTGCCTGGCTGGGCAAAACAAAAAATATTATATTTTTGTGTGTGCAGACGATTTTGTTGTCTTGCTATTTGTGCGTTGACCTAAAAATAGCCCCCCAAAGACAGCGGCAAAAATATTGAAATGTGCTCAAATTTTTTTTCGCTACACTCATATTTTCCACACACACTCGGGCTCTCTCGATGCCTCTATTTTGAAATTCCCGCCTTGTGTGTCACCTCAAATAAAATTAGCAGCTGTGAGGAAAAGATACCATTATTTTGATTTGCGTCATTTCGAGAAAATGAAAAACGTATGAAAATCACAAGGGGTTGGGATGGCCATTGGTATGGGTAAATGGAAAATGCAATAAAAGATACTTGAAATAATCGTAATGAAGTATATTTGTGTTTGCTCGCTCGCATTTTATGCCTTTTAATTGCAGCTTGTTGCTGCTGGGCGCCTGATGATGCTGCCGTGCTGTTGCTGTTGCTGTTGCAGCTGCCACAGCTGCTGCCCCCTGCAAGCACGCAATATTCTGACTGGGCCAACGGAAGCGGACCAAGAATCGTACAAATTAATCAACATTTAATAAAATATTATGCAAATTGCGCACAAAAGGCAGGAAAGAGCCAGCAGCAACAAGAGCTTGCCACTTGATGTCCCAATTAAAGTTTTACACAAAACTCACACAAACACGAACACCCAACTACCCACACCCTAGCTGGCACACACACACCTCCACACACACACAAAAACAGGTGCGTGCTGCACTCTGTGTACTTAGCACAGGAATTGTAAGGGAATTTGCATTAAAAATTCTCGCAAAAATAATGTTTCAAAAAAAGCACACTCTGAATGAGTGTTGGTGGTGTGGGTGTAGCAGACAAAGCATAACCCCCTACCATATGCCAGCCAGCCCACACATTTGCAGCAATACCCTTCTTCTCAACAATTTACCAGCCCCAGGACATGTTAAACAGAGTTGCAAAGCCAAGAGTTTTCCACTTCATTTGTATTAACAAATTGTTTCGGGCCTCAAAATCGCAGAGGAATAATATGTGTAAAATATACAAATGTTTATTTTAAAAATAATATTTTGCCATAGCAACAGTCAATCAACCAATATGTCAAATGGTTTTGCCTTGGGCTAAATATATAAATCATATTTTCCTGCCAACTATTCAATATATTCAAGGCTTGACAAAAATATTTAAATTATTATGTGGCATTTGTGTAATTCCAGTTTCAAATTTAATTTATTGTTCTAGCTCAACGCCAAGCACCTGACTGTAAAGTAAAATATTTGCTTAAGAAATAAAAGATTAATAAAGCTCTCCTTAAACAAATAAAAGACATATTAAAATATTTATTTCGTTGAATATTAAAGAGTCTGAATAAATATTTGGTGGGCCGACACTTCCTACACTACTAAACTAAAATTTCAAAATTTGTCGAAACTTTATTAAAAGCTATTTCTTATTTTAAATTATATTGATGTGAAGTTACAGGTTTTCCGCCTTAAAATGTTTATTTGTAAAGATAGCAATTAACAAAAATCAAAAATATGACAAAATTTAAAAAATAATGGCATTTTTATTGCAACTCGATTAATACAATCGTGGTTTTAATTTGAAAAGAATTAAACAATTCAAAGTTTGCAGGAATAAAAACTCCATATCTGTATTTATATTTAAAATGATTAAACAAAATATTTGTATAAATTAAAAAATTTGTTTTATATAAGTTGTCATTAGTATTTAAGTATCCAAAAAATATATATTTTTAATTTTTTGTTCACTTGCAGACAAAATTTACTTAACTTAACCTAGCTTAATTTAATTAATCTGCAATCATTCTAATAATATTTCTATACTTTGGCTTATACGTTCAGTTTTCAGGAGCACCGATAAATATTATATTCAACATCGAAAAGTTAAGGTGAGAGTATGACGTCTTTCCCATAACCTAATTAACATTTCTCGCCTGTTCATTTTTCAGTGTCTTTATTTTGGCATCGACATCATTATCGTCGCTGCCATAGTCGTAGCTATAGTCATTGGTTCGACTCCATGGTATGTGTGTGTGTGGGTGTGTGGGTGTAGGTGTGTCTTTGTGAGAGCGCTATATAAACTATAATCGTGGCTAAATGTGTGCGAGTGTGAGCCAGCGTGTGTTGCGCCACACACACACATATGCATTGAAATCAGGTGCAAATATTGTTGGATTTTCGTCGAGGCAAAGCATTTCGCAAATCTGGGTGTCGACGCATCTGTGGATCTCATGGATTCCACACCCGAAATCCCAAAACTGGATGAAAGCTGTTGATTTTGCCTGCCATGTTTTTGCTGATTTAATTATTTAAATTCAGCATTGTGCTACGGTAGCTCTCGTTTTTGTTAAATTGCTTGAATATTTCATTTTGCCTCTACAGAAAAACCAAAATATTAATATAAAAGAGTGCAATATGGGCATCCCGTATGGTAAGTTTGCTGAGCCGGCTAAAGTTATTAGTAATAGAACGATGAATAAAAAATTGTTATTTTGCACGACGCAAGTCGAACAAAGGATATTTTATGAGAATAAAAGCTATATATTTTTATTTCAAGGAATGAAAATAGTTATTTTAATTGCCTTGCACATAACATTTTATGCTTAAAAAAAAATATGAAACAGCTATGGTAAAAGCTGTCTGATTTTATTTTTTTGAGCTGTCATTAAATTTTGTTATTGTCTCTTCGTCAATGAGTCAAGAGTGCTTAGTTGAATTCAAATAGAAAATTTTTTATATGTGAGACCATTTTTTATAATCGTGATAAGTTAAGAACGAAAATGTATCTGAGAAATCAGATAGCTACACTATCGAGAAAAACTAAACAAATGCTGTGTATGAAATTTATCAAATTGTTGAACAGTTAAACAGAAACAGATATCACTATTGTTTAAGTTTGCTTAGAACTTGAAACTATATCAACCATTATTTATGTATATTTCTATATTATCAATTTTGCAATTGGCCTAAAATAGTGGAGTGTGTTTTAGGTTAATTTGATTTCTGTGCAACCCACTTGTTTTTTGACTTAGAATTGGGTGGTGGGCGTTGCAGTTCAGCACACTAATATTCACCATATAAACACACGCACACTGGCTGCCTTAAGTGTAAACACACACACACACACACATGCGTACATTGGGGGGAAAAAGGCATATGCATTTATTTGGCTTAATGTGGGTGCTTACCGTATGTAACAATTTGGCGCTGCTTAATCCAAAAATAACGCCAGCCAATTGCCAAAGTTCGCTCCAGAGTGCTGCCAACTGCCAGCTGACCCCGCCACGCCCCCCTGCTGCACTTTCCTTTCTTGTTGCACTTTTACCGCCCTCCAATAAAAAAGTATGTGGGTGTAGATGGGGGAGGGGGAAGGTGAGGGGGTTTCGAGGAGCGCGAAAGCGAACGCGTCCGCCGAGAACCGGCGTTTTGTAAGCGCACCATCGGCCAACTGAAACTGAAACTGAAAATGAAACAGCAACAGAAGCAACAGAAGCGAGGCAGCGGCAAAACGCTAAACTTTACGCAATGATCGGTGGCGGCGCCTTTTGTTTTTGTTGCTTTTTCATCAGTCTACATTTTCATTTTCACATCTTTGGCACCGCAGCAGCAGAAGTAGCAGAAGCAGCAGCAGCAGCGGACCGCCGGAATGTATCTGTATCCGCGGACGAGCGAGTGCGTGGCTTCAGATACAATCTACCACACTGGTGTCCGAAAAAATGTGCATGGCTATGCGATTTTCATAATGACAATGAAGAGTGGTATATTTCTTGCAACGCCTTCAAAGCTTTATTACAAAACTAACTAAATTACCAACGTTGTATTTTTGCTTTACTATCTAGTGCCTTTCGGTGTGGTGTAAACGTAAGCAATAAAAAGTACAATAACATATAGTCAACCAAAAGGTTTTCCATTTCTAAAAATTGGTGTACAATGAAAAATGAAAATAAAGATGGAAATAACGATATTTTTGAATTAAACAAATTTGGTTAACATAAGTAATAAATGAATGTTGTTAATTCCATCTTTATATTTGTTTTTCTTTGTGCACAATTTGATTCATGTATTTGTTTTCAGAAAGTGTAATTTAAATAACTTTAAAAATATTATATACAAATATGTTAATAATACAAACATAATATTAATATTAGGCTATATAAAAAATGAACAACACACTTTGAGTTGTACGCAAGGAAACCTAGGTTGACAAATCAATAAGAACTAAGTGCAAGTTATTAATTTAAAAAAAAACTTTATTACTCAACATTAAAAATGATAATAAATATATTTCGAATAGATAAATAAATAATGTCAATAAATTGTAGAAAAATGTAAGGCAACAATGTTCGAAGAAAAAATATTGATACATTTGCAGCCAGAAAACAAGAGTTCAATTAATTAAAATGATTTATATGCAAAAGCCGAACCGCTTACGCACTTGCACATATGGATGGGTGACTTTTATTACCTAATTAACAAGAATGATGGCATTAAATTAAAATACATTGAAGAGCATTTGGCAGATTTTCAAAACGAAAACAGAATCACCCACCTTGATGAGCAAAAGCATTGACTTAAATTCAAATTAAAGGCAAAGGGGATTAAAGTGCTCAAGAGTTCAAAAGCAAGGCGATGAGGATGAAAGTCTGTCCAAGACGCCCACAAAGCCAGGGTGATTCATTAAGGCTGCAGGGGGACACCTTTTGCCAACCGCCACTGTTAGTTTTCCACATATTTAGAGCGCATTTTCCCCACCCGCCAGCAAGAACAACAACAAACACAAAAAACACCGAGTAGTTTCAGAAAGAGAGCAGCGGAAAAAAATGAATTATATATAAAAAATATTCGGTCGCCGTCGATGAGCGACAAGATGGAGACAGCGGCAGCGAAAGATGGATAGAAACATAGATACATTTGTATCTATAGATATGTAGATGGTATATGCAGGTCTTATGGCCCGACTATTACAGCACTTTTACTGCCGCGCCCCAACACGTCTCTAATATTCTATTTCTGAGTGTAGTTCTTGTTTTTTTTTTTTTTTAATTTTATTTATTTGATTTTCGTTTTGGCTTTCCACGTCCTCGCCAGCGATGGCAGCCCAACAGCACACACAACATATTTCCCCCGTTTTTCGAGGAGTGATTTTCCCCCACGAAAATAGCAGAAAGAGTCCATAGAGAATTCGACGGGCAAATGGGAATAAATACGCTTAAAATGTCATTTAATTGTTTCACTTGCAGCAAACGTTTTTCAGTATTTTGGTTTTTTCGGTTTATTTCGCTTTTTGGTTTTTGGCTTTTTGGCTCTTTGGTTTTCTCGCGGCTGAAGTTGATTTCATTTGCCAGCCTTTTCGGCTTCACTTTTTAATTGTGCTTTAATTAATTAGCTTTTGTGTGTGCTGGATGCAAATGCACACACGCACACGCACACATATATATATATATATATATCGGTTACTTTTCTTTTAATGCATTTTATTTAATTATTTTTTGATGCCTCGTTTGCGCCAGGGAGTTTTTCATATTTGTTATATTTTTTTATCGGTGGCCGCTATTCGGTGGTGACACATTTTGTGGCATTTATTTTTGGTTTTTGGTGGCGCCTCGCGTGCAGTGCCACAAATTACACTATGCCCACACAAAGCTGCACCTGTCGCTGATGCACTGGCGTACCGTACTCGAATCTCGGACCTCGGATCTCGGATCTCGGAACTGGGAATTCAGAATTCAGAACTCGGAGCTCTCGGCTGGCTGACTGATGTGGTGACCACGTTCGCGACCACGGTGCGAATTATTATTGTTACTCGCCGCTCAACGAAAGTCGCTGCTGCTGCTGCTGCTGCTGCCCGTCGACGGAAAAGTTCGCGAAAGCAGCAAAAGTTGCTCTTGCTCTAGTTGCTTTTTTATATGTTTTCATGGAAAATCGAAGAAGATGATCATGATGATGACACCCCACAGAGTATGAGTGTGTGTGCCCCTAACCCTCCCTTCCTAGCAAGAAAAAAAAAAAAAAAAAATAAACGCCCACTCATACCCGATTATAAATTAGCCTCGGCCACTGGGCTAATCACGTACTCCTCCTATCCTCTGCTCTATTCTCTAATACCGAAAAAACACTTCAAGCCAAGAAGCGCTAGTCGAAAAAGCGATAAATATTCAGCATCACCACTCACAGACACACACACTGGCGTGTGTGCTAAACCACCTAATTAACAAGAAAACAACGATTCGATATATGTACTATATTTCTCCACCTATTCGCACACAAGCACACGAACACACGTCTGCTTTTATATGCATGTTTTTCTAAATATTGAACATTTATTTTTGGATTTTTGGAAAGCCATTTGAAAGCAGTTTCTATGCCCTGCTAAAGCATTGGGCTTTACTGACTACCCCGAATGTTTAGTTATTTAAGTTTCATATTTTTTCATAGCATACTTTTCGCAGCACAAGCTGGGCTTAGATTGGATTTCTATTCGCAGTTGATTGAAGTGAAACCACACAAAAAATTATACAAAAAATGGTGCACAGAACTAAAAATCTTAAATGATGAGATATTTTACAAAAAAAATAAAGCCTTTTTCAATGAATATGGAATTTATTGTTTACTTATATCTATATATATTTAAAAAAGTATTTCTATAGGTTTTAGTTTTTTATGTCTCAATTTGTTTTAAGATCACATAATAATGAACCCCATTTTAAAATTTTATAATAAATATAGGTACAGTTAATACAGTTGTTAAATTTATAAACTTTTGCTTAGCGTTTTATTTTTACAGATCGTTAATACATATACTATATGTGTACTCTATAATTTGGCTAGGTGTTTATTTTCAAAAACCTGAGTTTTTAAACCTTGAGGATATTTTTCTTATATTTTTATTGTGTATGCAATTACTAAAAAAGGTGTTAAAGAAATAGATTGCAGAATTATCAAATCAATATTTTTTTGAGTGTGGTATTCGAGTATGGCATTAGACAGGCGTCTATTGGAACACGTATCGATATTTGTTCGGTATTCAGTTCATTGTTTGTGGTTGGTGTATTTTTGGTTTTCATCTGCTTATATTTTTGGAAATTGTATTTTGCCATCAAGAGCAGAAGCAGGATCGTCAGAATCAACAACTTAGCGCTGTTATTTCGTTGTGCACTCGGTAATTTCACAAGTTCATGTGCTTTCGGTGCGCTCAAGCACAACAATTAGTGCATTCAATGTGTTCCTGCCATCGCTCACCTGCGCTTTTAACCCCTCAGTGCCCCCCAAATGTCAGCGAAATTTAACCCATGCACAAAAAGCTTCGCTGCAGAGCAAGAGCACCTGACAGCCAAACTAAGCTGCCTGTATTTCACGCTAGAAAGCCAGCAAAAAATAATATGTTTAATGTTTGTGAATGATTAATGGCACATTAGAATTGAAATTGTTTTTGGCCGCCACACCAGCAGCATAATAGTCCGAATCCGAACCCGAATCCGTATCCGAATCCAAAGCGCAGCGGAGCACTGTATACATTGCTATAATGTGCAAATATTTATATCCCCCTCATATAGTATGTGCTCTTGGCTGCTACAGCTGCTGCTGCTGCTGCTGCTACCTGAGTGAAACAGGTGAGTGTTTATAATGTATCGCATATGCATGGCCAAGTGCGGAAAAGAGGCAAAAACCAGGCAGAAGATACACAGCAAGTCGAGTGAATGTGTGCCCATATAAAATTATATTAATTTAAGCTGCACAGTGGGTAACACTTTTTTGAAACAAGTGTATGTATTTAAAATTACCAACAAAAATTAAAAACAAATTCTTGCTATTAATAGTAGTGACTGTAGTCACTATACTTTATACCTTAGTATTTAACCAGTTTATTATACTTAAGGTTGTCAATAATAAGTTAATATTTACCATGGATTGGTATACCCAAGTAGAAGTGCATTATATATATCATACAAAAACAAAATTATTTGCACTTGTCAAATACACTTATTTATTTGTTTTAAACGTTCCCAACTTATAAGTATTGCTACTTTTAAGTTAATTTTTTAAAACAATATGATTTACTTACTATAACATCTGAATAAAAAGTGCACTTATTTTTTTAAAATAATATTTTGGTTATTTATTATAATTGGCTTATTATAAATATTATATAAATGTTAATATTTTATATATTCATGTTCCTGATTAATTTATTTCAGATTCTGATACTCACAGTTGTTTTGTTATTAGTCCAGAGGGAGCTTACATTGTGTTCCGTGTACATCACCATACCCATACCTTCCGATACCATCTCGCCAAGTATTTGCTTAGTCGTGTGTATTATTTTGGCTGCCAAGTTCGGTGCGGCTGTGTGTGTCCTTGGGGCCTTCAGTGCGTTATGATGGAAGATGGTGGAGCGTGGCCCCCAGCCGATGCCGCCAAACCCCAATTCAAGTTAAAATCCAAACGAACTTTGCCAAATTGCAAAAGCCACAAAACCAAAACATTTCGTCGTCTGCTGTTGAAGTTCCATCGAGTTGCCTCGAGAGTGCCCCAAGAAGGTCCCCCAAGAAAGGCACACATATAGACACTTCGCCACACCCACTCCGCTCTTCCAAAAAAGAGTTGGCAGAATTTCTTAATAAACTTTAATGACTGCGGGTGTGCTGGCATGTGTTTGTCACTTTGGCCCAGGGTGCAAGTGCAACTTTGATGGACTTGGGTTACCTGTAGACCAGGTCCTCTGCTATCTGCTCATTCTTGCCAGCTCGGGTGAATTCTAGCCACAACTGGCTGCTTTCCAGGGTCGAAACAACAACAAATTGTTTAATGTGGCAGTTATCGTATGTACATGTTCCATTGTTCAGGAGTATTTGTCTTTCAGGACAAATTAAAATACCGTCCATAAAATTATTTCACATTCAATATCGGCTTTCAGCGTACAGGAAATATATCGCATTAACACAAATTAAAATATGGATAATGTCTCTTTTTATGTTATTAAAATTTGCCACGGGTAAACGAATATTTGAACGTGCAGCTTAATATGCCAATTTATTTAGCTTTTCTTGCTAATTAACATTGCAAGCAAATCATAAAAATAAAAATTAGTGGTATTTTCAAAAATTAAAAATAAAATTTCAACAATTACTACAAAGTTACTATATGAATGTTAAATATTAATTTAACAAACAAGAAAAATTAACATTGCATAAACATTTTTTGGTATAAATGGTGATACTGATTCGTAACAAAATATTTAAGAAAATCAGCATTTAACAGAAATAATAGTAAAAGATATGATTGTTTGTTGGTTTATCAATTGAAAAGCAATTTTTAAATAGTAAAGGATTTTGTTAGCCATATATGTGTTTTTTTTTTCAATGCATTATTAGAAGTTAACTTGTTTAAATTAATTTAAGATAAATGCTGTATTTGCTTGGCTGATTTAATGTTTAAGCCTTGAACAATATTTAAAAAAAAACTAATCAAAATTTGTAGTTAAGCTAAATTTACTCAGGATTTTCACCTGCTGGCGCCTCGAATTATAAAACAATTTGTTGTGCAACTACTTTAGACTTTCTGCGGACGTAAGGACGAACTTGATAATCCATTCTGGCCATCCGCCGCATCCTCAGAGATGGCCGTTTCAATTTCGCCTATAATTTAGTTGACCATCACGTACCAGAGTCACGCATGCCGGTGGGGCGATGGATGTGGATGGAGGTGGATACCGGGTGTTGGGACCGTGAAACCAGATCCGGGGTCGTTGGGTGGCCACTCATGCATTACTTATGAAATGACTCGGGTCCGATACAAGGTATCTTAGTTGCCATTGGCGGCATGTTCTCAGATACTAAATTGGAAACATCCCAATCAAATTCAAATCAGAAAGGCATTCATTTGCATGCGGATTGACTTCCCAGATAGATATGCCTATATATTATGCACATAATTGCACTGGAATCCATCTACCGCCGAAAATCACCGAGGGAGCGCTTCTTAAATTTACTTTAAAGACTAAGATATGCACCTTTATGGAACTTTTGGGAACTATGTGACTTACCTAAACTTTGAAGAAGGGGAAAATGTTTGTTGGCAAGTTTGTTTTACTTTTGCAATTGCTTTATCACCTAGCTGTTAAATATATAGACAACTCTGAGACTCAGAGTCTGGGTAAAATAAGCACAACATATAAATAAACAATACCAAAAAGGACATTTCAGAATGTTTTTGCTTTTCACTTAAAGTAAACGAGGGCTGTTTGATTGTATTAATTATTAAAAATTTATAAATTTGGAGAATACTATTTAATTTAGATTTTTTATTGTAAACATTTTAATGCAATATCAATTGAAGTTTGTTTGTTGTCATACAACACACATAGGGATCATGAATTCTTAACTGTTTTCGAAAAGTGTACTTAATTTTCATTGAGGATTGCTTTAAATTCTGTCCATTTTTTAACAAAGTAAATGAAATGAAATGATTTCCCCTGAATTTACAACCCAACGGAAATTCGGAATACCCCTTGAATATTTCTGCACATCCATATGGATGTTTCACTATAGTGAGACAAACGTCCATGACTCCTTCGACTTGGCCAGGCCATTGGCAATGACTTTTTTATACGACTGCGATGCGGTTTTCGCCATTAAATGGTTTGGGCCATAAAAAAAGCCGGAACCCTCGTAACGTTTCTTCCCTTCCCGTCCGCCGGCCAACATCTGCAATCGTTTTATTTAACTGCTGACTTGTTTGCGCAAATTAACACATTTATTTACACCACAATTTGTTGCTTAAATATTTATCGAATCCGGAGACGAAATGGCGCCACCGAAAAACAAATTGGGCAAGGGCAGTAACATTAAAAATTTTTCGTTTATTTCATATACAATAAGTACATCCAGATAAACATATACATATCCAAGTCCATACAATACACATATACATAGAGGCATATATATCCGCGAATACACATGCAGAGACGATTCTTTGTAATCATATCACACACACAAACGATATGGCACGCATACTGGCTCGTATGCAGCATAATTGAGAGTAAATTAGCGCTATACTTTTACATAGGAATTGCTCAGCCCGTTCCGCAAGTCATCCTCCTTCTCGTCCTTTTTGCTCTCACATTCCTATTTCCATTACTATCTATATGCCCATCGGTACACTCAGAAAAGCAAAAATCGTACCTAAATAGAAGTTCCTTAAAATTTATTTTTATAACTAAGTGTATTGTATAGTATTCTTAAAAATGTATACAATAAAAGAAAAATATAACGCAATATATTACAAAAACAATAAATAAAATTTAGTTCTATTAAGTATTGAATATAAAGAATAAATGGATAATAAAACAAATCTTTAAAAAAGCTACAAAGTAATAATGGTTTAGTTTTTCCAAATTGTGTACCTATACAACCAAAATAATAAATCCTAAATAAATACTTTGTTTTAGGCATTTCTTATGAAAGTCTTCATAAATTAACTAGTTTCTTAAAACAAATTTATTAATTTTGAAAATGTATTTAAAGACTTAGAAATAACTCAGGTTAATTTGGGGACTACATTTTTTTAACTAATAAAAAAAACGTTCTTTTTAAGTATTTATAAATTTTTATTAATTTAATGTTTTATAATTTACTTTTCTCTGATTTTAACTAACTATAATTTTTTTTAGAACAATATTACCTTGTTAAAATGTACGCCAATTGTGAAGAAATAAAATGTGACCTAGTTTTTGTATTTAAGGACGATTTATTTTTCTGAGTGACTGAGTGCGCATCCTGGGGCTCAACCCCACTTTGATATGGTTCCGCTTAAGCGAGAACGCTTAAATTCGCTGGATGTGGCAATTGTTGCATCGCCCGGCCCCCCATCCCGTGTGGAGGCCATAAAAAGCGCCGAGTACGCCGAGCAGCAAGCTCCAGGATGTGGGCGCTCGGGCGGTGGGGGCGTGTCCCAGCAGCGCCAGCTGCTCCTTCTCCAAGCAGACCCGGAACTCATCGTAGTCCAGGCGCGTGATGGCGCAGTAATGATTGAGCATGCAGCGGCCCGAGCAGTCCGACCCGGTCTGATATCGCACTGTGTTGGCTCGTTGATATCTGGGGGGGAAAACAGGGGGAAAACGGAGAAAAAATAGCATTGAGTCGGGAGTATGGGTACCATTTGGAATCCCTCCCTATCCCTATCCCTGTTTGCACTGCATCCTGTATCGGCCAGCCAGTCGGGCAGCTGGGCTTTCATAAATGCTCTTAGCTGAACCGCTATCTCCCGTTTTGATTTACATATTGCAGCACCTCTTGGGCGGGTGAAAGTGCTCACCGGTGGCCTGATTGAATGTGTCTACCTGTGGCCCCTTTAATTCAGCTCTCAAGCTCAACACTTTCTTAAATTGCTTAAAAATGCAATAGTCGAGAGTGTTTGTAATGCAGGCAAAATGTGTAGGTTTTTTAAAAAGGTTCTCATTGAAATGAAATAAAGAAAAAACTATCTCAATAAATTTCTATTGTCTTAAATTGTATATTTGTTTAGTAAGTAATTGAGATTTTTGTTTCAGACAAAAGTGAATTTTATTTAAAGCCTACAACAAATAGAAAAGGCCTTGCTAAAAGGAGTTGTTTTAGTGCTTAAAAAACACTACAATAGTAGCCGAAAATACCTTGGATATTTTCAGTAAATTGCTCAATTAATTTTGATAAGAATTAAATTTGCACCACATAGGTATGTGCGAAATTTTTTCAGCTGGTTTTCATTTTTAAATGGATTTATTCGATCACACAGCCAACATAAAAGAAGTTAACCTATTTTTTATGCCGGCAGACTTTGCAAAGTGAGAACTGGGCTCAAATGGGGTAACAGATTACGGAAAAATAAAAATATAACGAAAAAATGCTTTACGGGAATAAAAATGATGATTAAATGATTTTAAAGGTACTTTTTCGGGAATAGTTGGATAAATTTGGCAGAAAAATGTTAAGCAGTGAAGTGTCGTTAGGGGCTTGAAAAATAGCAATGATTTTTAAGAGTGAAAAAAATGGTTTAACATTAGTAAAATAACAATACTATTTTTAAGAAAACATTCTCGATTATTGTTTATGTTTTTTCAGAAATAATTAGTTATTGGAAAAATGTACACTATTTCCACACCAGAAAAAAAATCCGGTAAGAAATCAAGCCCAAATGGGGTATCTTGCTTACAAAAAAATTAAGGTTAAACATTTAGAATGATTTTATGAACGGCGTTCGAGTACTGTCAACTATCGGGAGAAAATTGAGAGCGTTGCAGGCGAGCACATTTTTACGAACGGAAAGGTATGTTGTTTACGAATGGCATTCAATTTTTGTGAACGAACGTGTGCAATTGTAAATCAAGAAAAATGTTCTTGATTTGTTTCGTGCTTTTTTTCTGGGTGCAAGCGTAAGTGAAGCTTCCGCAAGCAAATCTATCTGTGCGTTTCAAGGATTACCGGTCGGAGCATTCAAGACGGGCATAAATCGACCCAATCCAATTACCTGAAGAACCAGGATGGGTCTGTGCCCGTGAAGCGCTCGGCGAACTGGTTCAGCGCTCCGGCGGAGATCTCTGTCAGGCCGTAGTATTGCGTCAGGTTGTACTCCAGCACCCAGGTGGGCTCGTCGGCTCGGTTGGCCTGGGTCAGGTCCAGCCAGAACTGGGTGTAGTCCAGCACCTGGCCGCTCCCAGTGTCGAACTTGTACAGCCGCAGGGCGGGATTATTCGATGAGCCGATGCCGGCCTTGCGGGGCGCAATCGATGGGGCAATCATCAGCCACGAAATGGGAATGCCTGCAAGGGAAAACAAATGTTAGTTTCTCTTGCGTACAATTTAACGAGTTTTTTGCCCGCTATGTGATTTTTTAAGCAAGAAATTGTACATAAATTTAACTAAAATTGAAACTTTTTGTATTTATTTTAACCAATTTCACATAATTTACTCAAATATTTGCCATTTATTTTAATAGAATAAAATATTTTAAAGTGAACCATTTAAACCAGATAAAAATCTTGGTAAATCCAAAACTTTCACTGAAATAAATATTTACGGCACTGATTTAGCCCCGAGGGATGTTGTGTTTAAATCAAAGTGTGATTTTTAATTTCAAGTATGGAAAAATTTAGTTTTAAATTTATAAAAAAAATGAAATCTACAATTTTCCTATAGGATTAACAAATTAAATTTGTTAATAATTACAATACATTATCGTGTTTTTAGTTTACATTAAGTAAGTTTATATTTTGTTAAATGTTGTTATGTTTATGTATTATGGATGTATATATATTTGATTGATATATAATTATATTTTCAATTACTTTATAAAATCAATGTGGCATTTAACAGAAGAAAATTAGTGTTATACCTTTGGCATCGTAGATCAGGCGAAAGGTGTCCGAGTGCAGGTGACCGAAGAACTGGCCCTGGATGACCGGGGCAAATTTACGGACCATCTCCAGGTAGCGTTGGTTATTGCGCTCCGTGAAGGTCACCTGACTGTGCCGGGGCCCCAGGTGACGTTCGTCCACGCCCGGCGGCATGTGACCCACTATGTAGACCTGGGGACAAGAGTCAACAGATGCAGTTCATTTAATCCAACAGACGGATATAATGAAATCAGCTCCCTCAGTTGCAAATTAAATATTATAATTAATCAAAAGAGCAGCACACTATCCGATTGGAGGCTCTGGCATGTGATGGCCGAGGGCCCATATACAATATTTAATATTTACTTATGTAAAATCATTTTAAATCTCTTGATTACTGAAAATTTTAAGCTTTGAGTTTACGACCTGCCAACATTAAATTATTGTCTTTTATTATTCAATGGAATAAATTCTTTTGTTTCCATATTAAGTTACCAACGTTGTCGCATTATGGAGATCAATTTATGAATATATTACATTGATATTTTCCAAAGCCTTAAGGAAGAAAATTAAAATTGTATGCTATTTTTTCAGTTGGTCCTTTTACTTTTTAATATTTGTATTTTTTAATGTTCTTGCTTTAATAGTATTAATAAGAAATATTATTTATATTATTTTTTAAGCCTTAATAAAATATTTAAAAATCTTATTAATTTTATTTTTGTATGATATTTAATCTTTGAAGTCATTTTGTTTGGCTGCGATTCGTAAAGTTGCTAAAATACATACTTATTCAAAGTAAAATATAAGTATTTTTTTTATACCGTTTCCTGTTTTTCCTTGGACTTGGTGAGGACCTCCTCTAGCCAGAGCCATTGTTGCTCCGCCAGCAGTTCATCCTCGGCCGAAATGGAGCTAACGGATGCTTTGGGTTCCGTATAGTATTCAGATGACCATCGCAAGCTGTGCGATGTCCTGGAATCCGGATCGGATTCGAGTCGCATAAAATTCGTATTCAGAGCCACGATTCGCAGCCGGCTCTTGGTCTGTTCGATGGAGTAGTAGCCGCCCTGGTCGAAGGTCACCAGCGCCTCCGAAGGCAGCCAGTGGCGCCACAGTTCGCCCAATCTTCGGTAGCTGCCACTCCCGTCCTCGTGACCCAAAACCGGGAAGATGAACTGCGAGGAGAAGCTCCGGCGCAGCAGATCCGTGATATTTTGTAGGATCTCGTGCTGCTTTTGCTCGGACAGCGGCTGAGCAGAGTGCGAGAGGGCGTCTCCGGTCCACAGGACGAACTCCACGTTGTCACCCTGCTTGGCCTTCATGGTCTTCACTGCCGATTCGATCAGGCTCCACGGACTGTCGCAGTTGTAGTGGCCAAAGGTGCCAGGTGCCTCTGTTGCCGCATTGTTGCCACCGGAACCGGAAACCGATCGAGCCAACTGCCAGCAGCTCCGGTAGATGTCACCCCGGGTGGAGTACAGGGTGTCAAGGTGCAGGTCACTGATGTGCCAGAAGTATCCTGTCAGGAGAAATAGATAAGAGCACGGGGAGTAAGGCCATTATTTAAATATATATTTATAAATACTATTTAAAAGAGCACATTAGTTTCAAAACACATATATTTTCACATTCAACTGATCCTGGTTTCTATTTTCATTTCTTTATCGTGGGCTGTTCAACCAATGTGTTTTTTTTTACTTTCACTTTCTAATTAATTTGGAATTATGGAATTATGGAATTTGTATGTTAAAATCATATGTAGGCCAGTTGAACTTTTTGTACTTTTACTACAATTGTTAGTGAAAATATCCATGAGATAATAAATCTTTGATTATATGTTTTAGACTTTTTAAATGTAAATTATTGTTATGAATGAATATATATTTTAATAAAGTTTTTGTAAAGTTTAATAAATGCAATGTTGATTTTCTAAATTTACCGCTGATATAAGCACTTCTGTTTTGACATAATACCAAATGGCTGATCAATTTTGTAGGTAATTCTGTTCTATGAAGTGAGGATCGAGATTAGACTTTGACTTTGGCTAAGGCGGGCAATTCCTGGCCGGGAAAGGCCGATTTGCGGGGCATTTGCCCGCCGGCTGCTCGAGCATTGAAATAAGAAAAACCTGGTAAGTCCTTAAGATTTCCCTGCAGCTGACTGGTTGACTGACCTGAGAGCTGCTGAGCTGCTGAGCTGCTGCTTTCTACCTGGTGGCCCAAAACGCAAAGTCACAGAGTCACAAAGTCAGTAGTCAGTCGGTCAATTAGCGATTAGCGAGGCAACGTGCTGAACGCTGCACACTCCACAGATCAGTTTCATTTGGCATGCCCATCGATCGGTTGGCCAAAAAGCGCGACGAGTTCGAGATAGCTTGCAGAGGCGTTCCAGAGAGACACAGGAGGCATTCCTTTCATGCCCGGCGATCGTAGTTCCGAGGAGTTACAGATTGAGCAGGATGAGCCTGATCAGGTTGGGGCTAGCACTGCTGCTCCTGCTGGCCGCCGTGTCGCAGTTGCTGCAGCCGGTCCAGGCACGTCGCAAGATGTGCGGCGAGGTCTTGATCGAGGCACTGGAAATGATTTGTGTTAATGGCTTTATACGCAGGGTCAGGCGCAGCGAGGGTAAGTCGAGAGTCCTGCCTAGCCTGAAGCACATCTAACTCCCTTTTTTTTTTTTAAGGAGCCAAGGACAAAGATAGAATGCGGTCCCTGATCCGCAAGCTCCAGCAGCCGGAGGAGGAGACGGAAATGGAATCGGAATCGGCAACGGAATCGGCATCGGCATCGGCAACGGAGCTACCGGCCAGCGGAAGTGGACGCAAGTTGCGACGCCACCGGCGACGCATTGCCCACGAGTGCTGCAAGGAGGGCTGCACCTACGACGACATCATGGAGTACTGCGCCTGATGACCAGCAGATACCAAATCAAAGATCCCAAAAATCAGACAACAGATCCAAAAATCCACATAACAGATCCCACAAACAAAAAAACAGACATGGCTGAGATTTTGTGGCAACACTAGGGGGCACAGAAGGGTCGGATGACGAGGACTAGAGGACCAGAGCCACCCGACCGGCAGGCGTTTTGCAATTCATTTTCCTACACTTAACCCTAACTATAAACGTAATCGTATTTTCAAATATATTTCATTGTAAATTTCCTAGTGGAATCAAATAAAGTTACTCTCCAAGCAGCAGCAGCAACAAAATCAGTGTGTCCCCTGCTTTTTGAACCCGCCGGCATTCCAGCTGTGCGGCGTGGGTAATCCCCGGCCCATGAACACCAACACCACCAACACCACCAACACCAGCAATACCACCCACTCATAAAAATAGCACACCCAACCGCCCACAGGCAGCTGCCATTCAGCACCTCCAGTGCGGTGGTGCCCTTGTTTTCCGAGAACAATAATGGAAATTATGAATTTTTAATTAGATGACGTTCTGATTTTAATAAGCAAAACAATGGCAGAGGCGAAACGAACGGAAGAATACACTCAGTTTCAATTCGATTCACATTTTCCCTTCGGGCCTTGCTGTTTTTTTTTTTGTTTAACAAAGAGGCGCATACAATTGACCGATGCAAAAAACAAGTAGGCAACTTCCAATCAGTGGCCGGATTTTCCCACAGATAAGTAAGTACCTCTATTGACCCACAGATTTGCAGTGATAATAATTCAGGGCTTGCAGGTAAAAATCTACCTGATTTGGAAGGACTCAAAGACTCAGCTGTCTTATCATATTCAAGCGGAAAACTACGGAGTGGCACTTAGCCAATATAATGAGATTACAAAAGTGGCCTTATTGTTTTTGTGACAATTCAATTCAGTGAGTTACTTTACCTTGTTATTTAAATGAGAAAATGACAATTGCCTTCGAGAGGCTGTAAATATGGTTAATAACAGCTACTGTTTTATGTTTGTGAAGTCTCTTCAATGCCTTTAATTTCTGAAAATGGTTTCTCGTATTTTAAGGTTTATTTTTTTGGTTTTTTAAATGCTTTTAAAAATGTACAAAAATATAATGAGCAGTAGAAAAGGAATTTTAATAAATTTTTTTTTTTAATTTAAAAATTTAATTTAGAAAAATAACTTATTTTTCGTATCCTTTTTATTATTATAAACTTTTTTACAAAGTCATGAAATTCTGCATGCATTACGTAAACCAATTTTGAGCAGTGGCTGCTTTAACACACTGAAATTGCAATTTATCAAGTTTTTGTGCTTAAAGTTTTCCAACTTAAGATGAGTTATGGCACACCATGCCAAGAGTGTTGAACACCCTCAACTGCCAAAGGGAACTCAATGCACGTCATCTTGTTTTTCAGCAATCAAGATCCGTGCATTATTTCTTGGGCGAGAACGTAAACAAACGTCAGCTGATATGCGTAAGACCCCCCCAGGTTTATCCCATTCCGCCACAGAAAAGCTCAACATTTCCGACATCTAATGCCTGCACGTAGGGATAAATAGCAACACACACAGTGAACCGGGCGTGGAACTAAACCAGACCGAACTATGGTGCTAACTGACACCGCGGCTAATGCAATTCGACAGTGCTCAGACGCTGGATACGCGGAGCAGACAAGCCACTCGGATCGGATCCAAATCGGCTTCATATAAAACCCTCTGTCGCCGACTGGGAGCCAAACAGTTGTGGCCGGCACACACTTGGCAGACATCCACTCATCCACTCCGGCGACATGCAACGGAACCCGAACCCGAACACAAATCCGGAGAGGAGGATCCTGCTCCACAGCCTGATCCTGCTACTCCTGATGAGCGGCAGCGTGCAGGCCAGCATGAAGTTCTGTGGCAGTAAACTGACCGAGGCCCTCTCCCAATTGTGCGTTCATGGCTTCAATGCGATGATCAAGCGAACTTCGGGTATGTGTACTTGTATACCCTTCCAGAGGGTTTAACAATATTAGTCAGAAGTTTGCAACGCAGTGTGACATTATCTAGTCTATACACTATCCATTTCCATCGTCTGTCCGTACGTTTCAATGCCCACTAGGGTTTCAGTTCTGAAGCCATCTGGTCAAAAAGAATATTTTTTGTGTCTATATCATATAGCTGCCATGGGAAAAAAATAACTTCAACTTTACAATTTACAATGTAAATTTTTTGTATATTATTTTGCTAGCATATTTATTATTGTTTTTCTCTTTATTTTGATTTTGTTATTGCATGTGTACAAATTGGACTTTTTTTTTATAAATTCATATAAGATGGGTAAGTTTTGTATCGTAATGTTATTTTTATTATCAAAAAAATAAATATTAAACTAAATAAAATATAAACCTAAACAGTCGTAGATCCCATGGACTTAAACCTTATCGAGGGCTTCGAGGACAGTGTGCTCCTGGCTAGGATGTTTGGAGAAAGTGCCGGCCAGATGCTAAAGACACGACGTGTCCGTGATGGAGTCTTCGACGAGTGCTGTTTAAAGTCGTGCCGTGTGGAGGAATTACTGCGGTATTGTGCTCCTAAGCCCAACACGTGAACCTTCTATTAACCTTCCGACGACACCTAAAACTACTGAAAAGATATGGCCCGCCTGGAAATAAACCTCACGTATATTTTGTTGTTAAGTCGTTATAACAGCTTAATCAATTTCCATTCTTGAACATGATATATATATGCACATGTTTGTTGAATGCATGCGCATAATTTATAATCGGAAATCAGAGACAGACACGCGAAATGAATCGGAACACGGGATGTTATGCATGTAGATATGAATGTATAGGGCCTGAATACATCGCCTGGGTATAAATTATTAAATAAATTATGTATTCAAACTGCTGCAGATTGGCCAACATGATTGGTAATTAAACGGGTTTTACATTGATTTTTCATTGTCGTTCATTGCAGTTAATTATTTATTGACCGAGAGGACTGAATTCTGTTCCAAGTTGGAAAGGAAATAAAGATTTCAACGAGCTGTACAGCTGTTAAACACAAAAGTTATGTTATGCCTACAACAGGAAACGAAAAGTTACCCTATGTAAAGGGTTTAAAAGTGAACGTAAAAGTAAGAATCAATGATATGCTGATTTGATCATAGAGAGATTAGTTTTTTAAAAATTAATTTCAGCTAAATGCCATGAAATTGGGCAATTACCATAGTCTAATAGTAATTATCTTTACACTAATTATTTGAATCATTCATTATAAATGAGACCAGAAACTGAAAAATGTTTCCCATTTAGTATTTGCTTGAAATTTAAACTAACAACATGTCCACATATCTAACAAGAATTTGTGTGCTTTTGGTCCTTTTCTTATTGATCAAGCAGGTAAATTATCAGCAGATCAGTTTCAAACTAATGAAAAGAGCAATTATACATTTGTGAATCCTACAGAACGTTTCAAAGTTCGAATTTACGAATGTACAATGCACTTCTTTGGATAAACAATTCGATGAATTCGAACATTGCTATCTGAAGTCGGTTAATCGAACCTACAAATACGTTTACATGAAAGTAAATTTATTCAAGACTCCCGTGAAAAAGATAAAGGTAAAGTTTATTTATTTTCATTTTATTTTCGTGTATATTAGCTATAAATACTGAATTGCCATTTTAGATAAATCTATCGCTGCAAAAACGATTTAATGGATATAGACCTTTCTTATTCAATATTACTGTGGATGCCTGTAGACTTCTGCTGAATCCTTCAGCTAACCCAACGTTTAATTACTTTTACGGATTTCTGGGAAACCATACAAACGTGAATCACCCCTGTCCATTTGATGTGAGTATGGTTCTAGTTGTTGAGACTTTAAGTATGAAATTATTTATTACGCAGCATGATCTAATCTTTGATAAAATTACAACCAATTTAATAAGCCACCGGATGTCTAAAATTTTACCCTTTCCCGAAGGTGATTATCTTATGGAAGTCAATTGGTTTGCTTATGACATAAATAGAGCTATCACAAAGTTTTATGGCACTCTATCTTAGGAGTTGATATCTCTGAATATATTGTGCAAAATTATCTTGACGATGTGTATTATCAATAAAGATTTTCTGCGTGCTCTCCTTTTAAGCATCAACTGATGTGCTTCAAATATTGATTGATCTTAAGTATAGTTTCAGTTATTTGTGTCGAGAAACCCTCTCTCCATTTAAAATATTCATGGTATATTACCAGTTACTGCCATTGCTTGCTTAAGCCAAAAGCAGTATATATATTTAAAATATTTCGATCGTTCATAAATGCAAAAATCTTTAGAAAAAAATCGTTTGAAGCTTATATGCACATGGTTGATTCCAAGTCCAGAGATAGTGTGGTAGAGCCAGTCAATTGGTTACAGATCTAATAGGCCACTTCGCAGTACTCCTTGAGCGCTTTCATCGAGCAGTACCTTTTGCAGCACCTGTCCACGATGCCTTCCCTTGTGCGTCTTCGGATGGCGGACAAGGAGTTTCGGAAGTATTTCCCATAGGCCGAAGTGTCCGAGTCCTCGCTATCCTCTATCTCATTCCGCTCAACGAACTGGAGAGGATTGAGGGGGTCATCCAGATCATTGCTGGCTGTAAGAAGTTAGTGATTCAGGTTCTAATTCGCGTTTTGAATAGGCCAGTGAAACGTACGCAAGCTGCGCTTCTGTGGGAGCATGGAATTAAAAGATTTGCACACCAGGTTCATCATCTCCGTCAGCTTTTGGCTGCAGAGCGTAAATGTCAGCTCCTGTCCTTGGGCCAAGTGCACCGAGGAGCAGGCCAGGAAAGCCACAAGCAGCAGCGAAAGGAGGGACACGGACTTGCACATGGTTGGTTGTGGGGGTAGTCTTCGTAGTAGTTGGACTTTGTTGAGTCGAGTCGAAAGGTAAATGATGCTATTTGGCCCAAAGGAGCTGGCTTATATACAGCTCCGGGAACTGGGTCTCGGTCGGGGTCGGGGTCGGGGTCTAATTCTGGCTCAACACACATTATCCTCAAAAGGCACAGTGTCAAATTGTGTTAGGCAACGATGAGTGCATTTCGGAGTTCCCTTTTCTTCTCGAACACCTCGAACGCTTGGCTAAACTCGTTCAATGTCAAAGCTGACTTATGCAAATGCCGCCCATTGGAAAATTTGCGGGCCTCGGTGGGCGTTTGCTGTCAGCCAATTAAACAATTTATGTATAAACAGCCAGGCCGTGCTAAGCCTTGCATTTATGAATAGCAAATGAGTCCTTGGTCTTAAAGTCCCATTCCCCTGGTCCCATTTTATACATAGCGTATAATACTTACCAACGCGCGCCTGGGCGAGGCTGGAGTAGGCCAAAAGCCAGTGACAGAGCCAGATCCAACTGAATGGGGCCAGAAGAGGCATCTTGGCAACCAAAACGCCTTTTACGCCTCCCTTAAAACTTTTCCTTTGACTGTTGTCCTTGCCGCTCACACAAATTCTTTTTGCACTGTCTACTTTTATTCATTAGTCAAAGTTGGTGCTGCATAAATAAGTGATTACGAATTACGAATCGGATTACGAGTGTTGTGTTTTGTATGGGTATAGGTATGGGTATGGGTATGGGTATGTATGTGTATGCATGCTTGGGGGTAATGAGTGCGATTAAGTGTCCTATTTGGGCAGGCAGTAGGCAGCCAGCTCCTCGTAGGAGCAGGATTGCACGCAGCACTCATCGTAAACGCCACCGGGCAGGTGTCTCCTGTGGCGACGTGTCTTGATCAGGACTTCAGTCCCATACAAGTTGGTCAGCAGGGGACTGAAGGAGTAGCCAGCATCAGCATCTGCTCCTGCCCGCGCCTGCCACCAACCATTATCCAACTCATTGGACACTGCCGGCTGATTGGCGCGCTTCAGGGACAGCGAATTGTAGCCGTGGGCACACACCACATCCATGGCATCGGACAGAGCGGGACCGCACAGTTTGTGGCTGCCGGGGGGCAGCTGGTGACCACTGGCCATGACCGCTAGCAGAGCAACCGGGATAACAGCGATTAGCAGCGGCAGGAGCCGCAGCCGGAGCCGGAGGCCATGAACTGCACTGTTTTCCTTGCAAAACATCCTTAGTCTGTGCTGATTGCTTTCAGCTGCAACTGGTATTTATACCACTAAATTTGTTAGTATTCCCCAATGCAGTTCAATGGCCTCTTGTGCTCTTGTGCTGCAACATCGCAGTCCCCAATGTCCTACCCCCTAAATATCCTCTTTACCACCAATATTTTAGACACGGCTTAACCTAAAATGCATGCTTCTATTTTAAGCTCTTCCCAGAATTTCAAAACCCAGCACTGTTATAAAAGTACTTAAGGTATTTTGTTTAAACCAAATATTCCGACAAATGTCTTGGGCTTCAGAGAACATCGAAAACAAAATACAGGTTCCTACAGCTAACTGGTAATTATTTTACTCACATTACATTTAGCAACAAACACAAAATAATTAGTTTTTTATCATTTTAAGACAACTTACGAAATTTACTAATATTTATACAGTTGTTTAAAAATGAAGGTAAAGATACTAGTTTGTAATTTGTGAGATAAAAATATTAAGAATTTTAAACTTTTCACTTTCACTCCTCAAAAACCGGAAAAAGAAATATATTATAATATTATATTACGCAAATATTAACTAGACTCTCAGTCAGATATTAAAGAAGTTAAGCTGTTTTGTTAGGAATCTTACAGTTTAATCAATTGTTTTGCTTAAGTGTAATCACCGCCAAAAATTCCACCCACTCCAGAACCCTTTCGCCCAACCTGTTACTTTGGCGCTAAGAGGCTCTGACTGCTGTCGATTGCGATTACGATAAAGCCAGATTTCTGTGGGGGAACGGGAGGCAAACTCGACGGCTGACAGAGTGGCAGCCTCATTAGCATGTTGCGGCAAGGTGGAAAGTATGCTTCAATGAGGTTCCGCTGGCGGCAGTGTGCGAAATCGCTCCGATCGCCGCCCGATTGTCGAGCTGCACGGCGATGCCAACAGTTGGTTGCCAGCGCTGCATTCGAACGTTTTGCCTTTGCCCCGACCACAAAGCTCCGGAAAAGCGGGCACCAAATAGTCGCGAACATAAATCGGAAAAAAAAACAGAATAAATCGGAATAAATCAAGGCGAAATGGTGCTCGACATTAAGATGTGCCGATTTGATAATGTGCCCTGGGGTTTTCGCCTGGTAGGCGGGGCGGACTACAACTATCCGCTGACGGTGGTTAAGGTTAGACCCGATCCAATCCTACAGAGATCTATATAGTCCCCTCCTGCCAGTGCACCACCGCTTGAAGTCACCTGCCAAATGCCCCACCTGTGTGTTTTTTCGTTTGCTGTTTGGAAAACTCGCCATTTATCATCTAATCACCTGACGGATTCAATTCAGTGTTTTGCGATACGCTTTTTTTCGGCTGCAATTACGTAACGCGATGCGTGCATTGGCAGCATGGGCAAATTAGTTAATTAAAGTAATTCCCACTCTTTTGTTTATCTAATCGACAGGCCCATGCATTTCCCGCTAATGAGCCGCATAATGGCAGCGGCCATAAACTTATTCAAATTTTAATTGTGTTTCAGTTGCAGTTGCAGTTGCAGTTGTGCTTTGTGTTGCCTGTGCATAAATTGCATTTGGCAATTCGCATTTTGTAACATTGTGTTGACAACAGCAAAAACAACGGCAAAACATCGACGTAAATCCGAAACAAATGCGATTTTTAATTGGCAAACTACGAAACGCACACAATAAATGACCAAAATACGAGGGCCGCTAAAAAGTCCATTTCCTCTCGATTCCAATAAATCAATTTAAGCCGCAGCATAATATTAACAGTCAAGAGAAAAAAACACATACTTTGCATTTTACTATTTACATTTTCTTAACCAACTGCGTTTATTTTACATAAACAAATTATTGTTAATTTATACTTTAAATGCAGATCAATTAAGATAATGCTATATCAATTTTAATCTTGTAAATAGTGAATATGAATTATAAAAATTAGTTTTAGAATCCACCACTTAATAAATCAAAAGTGTCAATTATTAAATTATGCATAATTTTTTATTGAAAACATATAAAGATACAAGTAAAAATATATTAAAGAGTGTAGAGTCCATTAGCAAACAGTCTCATAAATACGGTTTTTTTTTGTTGCTAATTTAGTGAAAACTTTATTTAAATGATTAATTCATTCTTTATGATTTGACTATTATAAATCTTTGAACAACATGTAAGCGGCTTAAAATATATAACTTTAAGAAGCCATTTTTAAAATGCTCATATATATTTGTGTTAATATTGCCTTATGGAATGTGTGCGAAAACACACACCTCCACATGTTGGCCCTGCAAACACTCAACAATCTTTCGTAATCTTTTGAAAAACCTCTGTTTATTCTGCCCCACCCTTAGCCATATATATATGTATGTTATATCCAGGCAAAGCCCTAAGCCTGTGTTCTATAAATATTCGCAAGCTCCGTCGATGTCGAGTGTTTGCCTTGTGAATTCACCGCTGGAAATTGACTCTACCATAAGTGAAATGCAAGAGGCCCCTGGGAGAATGGAAGAAATCAGACCTCCGAACTTGGTTGGGGGAATCCCCTGCAAGTGCCACCCATTTTTTCCGCCTCCTCTTGCGGCTGCTCGCCTGCAGTATTTGCATTACTAAGTCCTCTTGACAGCCAGTGTCGTGACTTTCTGGTTATGAGCCCGGCTTTCACATAACGGAAACGACAACAATCACCGCCAAAACAATGGGGTTTATTTGCCCGCGAAAGTGTTACAAAACAACTGAATTATACAATAAAATTGTGGGGAAACTAAACCCTTAAGAGTTTTCTTCTTGTTACCAAGAAACATAATCTTTGCCGTGTCGATTCCCATTTCGTTTATAACTTTTAGCTTGTTGAAAACTCTTATATGCCGTACAATTTTATCCCTATAAATAACACGCAATTTAAATGCTCAATTTGCGGCAATTTGTCTGTACTTGATTACCCACAAAAGCCATAAAGCTACTATTGTGTTTAGTTTTTGTTGTTCTCACAACTTTTCAACATCACGTGTGCCTCACTTTGATTTATAGTTGTGAATGTAAGGCCCAGTTTGCCAAATGAACATTTAAAATATAGCTTTTGATGATGATAGCTAAGATAACTTTTCTGAATAAATTTTATAATGCAAATACACAATAAATTGCAGAATCTAAATAAGAGTGGTAGTTTTTATTAGGGAAATGCTTTCAGTTGAAATTCTCTTCCAAAATCATAACTGTAGAGCACAGATACAATCTGATTGTTTATTGGAAAGCCTAATAAAAAATATTCATTAAAAAAAGGTTTAATTTATCAAAACTTCTGTAACATAACATTATTAAAATACTAAATAATAACTCTGAAATAATTATAATTAATTCTCAAATTAAACTATAAAAATTTCTTTTGATCTTTCTTTTACTACTGATTAACTTTTGTAGATTGTTTAAATCAAATGTATACTTTAAGCCAAGATAATGGATCAAACTATGTACCAAACCATTCATAAAACAATATTTTATTTGAGTGACTAGACATGGGTAATTCCACTTGCTCCACTTAATTGAAGTGACGTTAATGAGTTTCCACTTGTTCTCGAGCAGCCCTCGTTGTGAACACCCCCCTCTTGGGCATTGTCTTCGGTTTGCTTGGTTGTGCGTGCCTGTGTGCCTGTGTGTTGGGGTCTGGGTCTTCTGGTCCTCTGGTCTTTGTTTTGTTGACATTTGGCGCGCGTTTTATTTTTATGCACTTAGCACGCGACGCCGCCGTCGTCGACTAATAGAAATTCTCCCATTATCGCATCCATTGTTCGAGTATCTCAGCCTCAGCCTCACATTCGCACTCGCACTCGCATCCCATCCGTATCTGATTTGGTGATGGTATCCGCATCTACATCTAACCATGTCCACATGCTTCAAATCGCAACGATAGGTGACCGAGGGCAGCATTGCTGACGAGGCTGGACTGCGGGTCGAGGACATCATTGTGCGCATCAATGACACGGCTGCCACGCCCCTCAGCCACGACGAGGCCCACCGCCTCATTATGAACAGCGGCAGCGTTTTCTACTTTGGCGTCTACCGGTGAGCTTCCTTTCCCAGCTTCTAGTCCCTTTTGTTCCTGCCTTTCGTTTCCCATCCGCCGAGGACCATTTATCACAGCTGAGCGGATTTACAACCCAAGAAACGCTTAGTTTTACCTTTGCAAAGGGTGCTATGGTTTTTCTTTTGATTTCTTTCTGTGATCTAATACAAATTACAATTTAATAATATTGTTTTGAGCGAACAAATTATAAATTTGAACGATATGTTTTCGAGCCCCAAATTTCGCTTAAAGTCGAAAAACTTTTTGGTGATGCATTCTTGGATGAGATTGTTTTGTTAGCGTCTCAACTAAATCTTAACACAATAAAAGAAAACAAAAAACAACAACATCTTTTAAGAATGATGAACAAAAAAGTTA